TACATTTAATATGACCTTTGTGCACTGAAATTTGTGTTTTATTCAACAGTTACGTCTTGTAAAGTGTAAATTTAATGTTAGATTCGACTCAATTTTTCCTGGACGTTCAGAATATATTTACTATATTTTTTCACAATTCCTTGAAAGAATTCATAAGAAATAATCTATAGATATTTCAGAACTAAAATGACACATTTCACTGCCAAAAAATAATTTTTTCCTGGACGTTCAAAATATATTTACTATATTTTTTCACAATTCCTTGAAAGAATTCATAAGAAATAATCTAATAGATATTTCAGAACCAACATAACACATTTCACTGAAAAAACAGCTTTGTGTGCAATCAGCATGGAAAATTAACAGTACTGTGTACAAAGTAGTTAAAAAGGGAAAAAATGATCATTTTCTTCGGAAAAAAAACCCTCCGCCACAAAATAAAGTTCCTGTCTTAATTCTCTTTGAATAGAATTTAATCACAGTTTTTTTTCATTGAATATTGTCCAGTTTGCATGGAAGAATTCAGATTTAATGTAGAAATAAAGGTCCAGACCAAAAATTGCTCAAAAGCTCAGGATCGAACGTCCTTAAATAAGAACTGGAATACATGCGTTTTTTCTGGATTTATAATCAAAAACACTATCCGTATAGACATCATTGTATACATTGGACTGGGGTGCGTTCAACAGCGTAGCTGCTACGTAGCCGCTACGTAAGGCTATGCTCTTGAACGGACGGCTAACCTAGCTGCTACGTATGGAGAGCTAGCATAAATATTTAATGCTACGTCCCAAATCCAAGATGGTTTCCTTGGTTACAAATTTGCAGCATTCAAGATTTTTACAAAAAGGAGGGTTATTTCCTATATCTAAGTGAATTAAATGTAAATTTAAATACATATTTTCGCCTGAAATAAACTTTATTTGTTCCAGTAATAAGTTTTTACTGATAAATCTTTATTCAAAATATAACACTTAGCAGCTAGGTTAGCTGTTTGTTCAATAGAGATAGATATCTACTACTTAGCTGCTAAGTTAGCCGATACGCTGTTGAACGCACCCCTGGTATTTGAAGAAAAATAATAAAAAAAACCCCCTGTCATTGAACATACCGAGGTTACGTCAAATTTTAGAACATCATTCAGATAGAGAGGAACAAAGGTCCCAGTTGTTGTAGCAATAAATCCGTAGCCGAGTTGACAGACAAGTATACCCCAGAAAGGTCCCGATCTGAGAATGCCGAGCCATGGTGGGCGTGGCATCTAGATTAATGCGTGATCAATTATACATTTACTCAAAGACAATTTTGTACATGAAAAGCGTGGAAAAGACATTGAAAAACAGAACATCTTACCTTGGCAACAGTGCTGTCTCGTCTTCGATGTCGGATTGTTTCTATTTCCGGCAGAGTGATTCGAGGGTGTTCGTATGGACTATCATAGACCAACAGAACCCATGGTATTATCATAAGGAGGTTGAAACCACCTTTGATATTGTTGAAAAGAAAAAAAGTATATTTTTTAAGTAATGGGTCAGATAGGTAATTTTTTTTTCAAATTGAAACGACTAAACGCATGATTTTTGCCCAACATGATATGCGAAAATACTGTAAATGATGTTGAAATTAATGTATTCTTAAAGAATAATTAACTTACTAAAGATGTACATAATGAGTGGCCAGCCATTTTGAACTGGGATCGTACAGAGAAAACCAGAGGCAGAATAATTCACAACGTAGCTTATAAATAAACCTGAAAAAATTAAGAATCTCCAGGAGACGTCATTCAAAGTCATTATTGCATAAAATGAACGCGAAATAAAGAATCTTGTATATATATATATATAATAATTCTTCAATTGTTTTTGGATGTGTTTTCATATCCAATGATTTTTCTAAATCTAAACTCATGGCATTGATTTAGGAAGAAATTGGCCCATTTGACAATAATCATTGAATCAAATCATAAACCATTAAAGCTATATTTATATAAACAAATATCTTTTTCTTTAGAATTGGATTTAAACTTGTATAAACTTGTATAATGTCATCTTAGGAATTTTTTTGCAATTACCTTGATTATTTAATGATGCATTAAATACTCCAGGAAGAACATTTCAAATGTATTTACTTTATATCGAAATTATTAACAAAATATATGTATTTTGCATGGCTGCACATGGCGGATAAATTGATTTCCACTGAAATGATATATTTTTTGTACCTGCCATTACCATAGAGACAAGTTGCGCCCGTTCACTGAGTGGTGCCCACTTCGCCAACAATTCAGTGATGCTGGCCTGTAATCCACCCTTGTGATGAAAGTGATAACTTATGATTAAAATACAATACGGTAAACATTCGATAACTAGAATTAAATAATAAATACTTACAACAGAGAGGCCAACCACACATCTAAGCACGATTGCAGCGTAGGGATTAACGGTTAATACTATGGGCGTGGCAGATGAAAAGGCGGCCGTTAGGACGAGTATGAAAAGAACCATGTTTTTGGCGCTAAATCTTCCAGATAAATATCCACCAATCAGGGGTGTAAACGGTAAAGCGTAAAACTCCGCCGATAGCACTTGCCTTCTGACGTCACCCTCAAGTCTAATGTTCCATACCTAGAAACAATGGTTGGTTTTCTTTGTTATAAGCACATATTGGGAAATACATGGAAATTTTGCAATCGGTAATCGTGCATGTATTAGACTGTGATATGTAAGTAATGAATATTATCTAAGTTAGTAAATCTTTTTACATCGGTTAATCAATAATAACATTTTGATGCATTTGGCAAAATACTCACATTACACATTCAAGCATATTTAGTGATTAAAAATTTCATGAATACAAATCATCGAACGGACATCGACCAATTGAGCTTTCGTGTACCTTGAATTCAGTTTTATCCAATCAATACCAGAACTATAACCAGGGATCCAGGATTTATTAAGCAATTTTCAAAATCACTATAACTTTGTCTAGAAATAAAGATATCTCGCAAGAATTCTTTTTCTCTCGTTACAGATTAAAAAATACGGATAATATTCTGTTAACAATTATTTACTGATTTTACCCCTAAAATAAGGATATGATTTAATTACACTCTGTTCCTCGGGCGCTGTCATATTATTGGTGGTGTTCGATTGGTTGTGCTTTAAGATATTTGTTGTGTCTTTGTAGTTCGACTCCATGCAGACAAGGACCATCGATAAGCAGTTCTGTAGCATTGGTACAACCACAAACACCAGGGTACACATGTATGTCACGACCCACCGGCAGGAGAGGTACTTGCCAAGGGGTCCTTCTGGATGATGGTGAGGCGAATTGACATCTACATAGGGTTTTGATGTGAGGTCATGATTTGTGGTAAAAGATACCGATCCTCTCCTGCTTCCTTTCAAAACTTTCTCACTTTTGTTATCATCTTGAAAAAATGTTAACTTAGATGTACTAAAATTTCAAAGATATAAATAAATGTTAATGATCTCATATCAAAATGGAAGAGAAACAAAATATTAGTGTCAACAGTACACGAAGACAGCAATTTGTACTTACCCATTTTTAAGTATCACCCGTTACAGTGTATTTTTTACTTTGAATCAATACTATATATAAATAACTATATATAAAATTAAAAAATATATGGAAGCCAAGTTAAGTTGTGAATAATCCTTTATCTTAATTTTTTCAGCCCCGAAAAGATATAATTTCATGAATTTTGGAATCATTTTTGGTATTTTAAAAGAAATAATTGTGTTTAACAAACTTTTTATCCAGGAATGATTCATTTTTTTGTTAACTGCTGGAATATGAATAAATACAATAACTGTAAAGAACTAAATAGGTCTTAAGAAGACTTTTCTGATATTTTTACCCTTTTTAATGAGTTTTGTGGTCTATAGATCCGTGTTTCAAGCTTTCAAGTGTTATTATATTTGTCGTTTCAATGAACTATCTGTGAACTAAACTTAAAGTGAACTATCTGTGTCACCTAATGTCAAAATACTTCATCGTTTTCCAGGGAAGAAGAAATGTAAAACATTTAGATACTTTCATTTGATAAACATACAATCAACGCAAGAAACATTAACCCTCTTTTAATTAAAATAAGGAACTCAAGTAGAAAACTAGATAGTGAGTTTTTACAATCATCTTATATCTATATTTCAAAAAATCACCAATATAATTATCTCTCAACATAAAACTCCCAGTTTTCCAGATGAATAAGATGTCTCCCTAGTTCCCTAAACGAGTCAGTTGTAATCCAGATGAGTATTATGGATAACCTGCCCTAGGTTCTTATTATTCATTAGTATTTGGCTCGTTGTGCTCACCGTATTTTGGCTGGAGACTATCATTCATGTCTTTGCATTAATATCACAGCTGATTTTATTGCATCAACTCATTCCTATTCGAGAATGATTCATATGCAAGATTCCATCATATTAGCTAAAGCATTGCGTCACTCATGCCAAGTTTTGTTACCTTGCGACAAGTTTATATCTTGTTTTTGGAGCGATCAAAGTGATTTTCCCCAAAAACCACTCCTACTCTCTGAAATAGTTCTGTTTATATCGTTTGCTTATTCGAAATAATAACCAAAATTCTTATCTTTCCTGTTAAGATTATATTATTATGCAGTAATTTAAATATATATGTTCATGTACATTAGCGTAATGTGTCTGAATATTTTTATCCCAGCTGAATGAATGAAACTTTTTACTGTCAAATCTATTGTTTAATAGATTTGGGAGGAAACGATTTTAACAGAAAATCATAATAGTGATTACAGGAAACCTTGCTTGACCTTGTGATATGTTTTCCATCAAGAAATTATTTCAATTCGAATCGATTTCATCACATCATAAGCGTTCTGTATTTTCACACGTTCCCTATGCCAATTAATTCACAAGCAGAATTGTTGGTCGTTATACCTCACCACTGTATGAAAATTTAGTATAAAACAGACAAGATATTCATTTCAAACAAATGACCAGAATGGAAGGCTCGGCAACAGGTAATGACACTTTAGGATACTTACAGAAAAGTTAAAACAATTTTGATATATGGTAATATAAAATATAACATATAAATTGAATTAAATCTGATGAGATCATATGTAAATTGAATCTCTAGATACATTACAAAACTGCAAGCATAAAAAGTTTACCATAGACTGAAATTCAGCTAGGCTCGATATTTAAAAAGAAGTCAAGATTTAGACATTATAAATCAAGTGTTAGGACTACTAAAAGCCAACGTGGAGGATGCTCTTATGTTCTTTTTTTCATCTGCGATGTATATGTCAGGCTGTAGGGTGACGGAAATTTTGCTATTCATAAGCCGATTGAAGAAAGAAAGTTAAGTTTTAAATAAAAATATTAATATTCTTTATTCATGTTCTTTTAGAAGAGAAAGGTTCCCCCAATGGGTTAACAAAGAGATCATCAACAGTTTCCTTCACAAAACAGATTCATACGAACGGAAGAGAGCACCAAGGATCTGTGACATCGTTTCGAAATTCCTCCACAGCTCCACTCTACAGTTCAAAAGAACTCCTGAAACAAGGTCTCGTAGAGAAATATACATCATGTCGCTGGATGGTGACGTTTTCTTGTTTTATTATCGTCACGTGTTCTATTATGTTACGTCAGTGCATGAGTATGGCAGTCGTCTGCATGGAATCTAATTACAACGCTGCTACAAACTTCGTTGACATGGGAAACTACTCAAATGTAACAAGAAATTTGACAACACAGAGAGGGGTACAAGATGTCATATATAGCTAGTTTTTGTGAATGAATATAAAACGAATCATTTACAGTGTATCTTTGTTTAAAAGTAACATGGTGGAGTTTGCAATAGTTGGTATCCAAAGATGATATGTACATCTATCAAATTGTTTTCATTTACTATACCCTCTTTCCTTAATTTCCAGCTTTGGGACATTGTTTGGGACAGTGAGATGGAGGGGCTGATTTTACAATCCTATTTCTACACTTTTCCCATCACGCCTCTCATTGGCGGGTATCTGTCCGGGAAATTTAGCGGGAAGATGGTAGTGATTGTCATGACGTTGTGCCTGGTTACCTTGTCTGCCGTCACGCCCATTGCTGCGACAGTCAGTCCGTACATTGTAGTGGTCTTACGTTGTTTGATAGGGTTATCTTCGGTAATTAAAATCCTAGAAATAAATTGTGTAAATTCTAGCGATATGTTAATATTGACATTGAGTTAACTATTGGATTAAAGGCACAAAAATGTAACTTGTTAAGTGTCGTCTTACTATATTATATTCCATTTTAAAAACTGATAATAATAAGTATTTTTACCAGACTTTATTAAATATATAATAAGTGTTTCACATAAATATACTATTAAATTAATATTTGAACTAGTAATAAATATTTCTTTTTTATTGGCTCTTACATTTTACAAATTAAGATAAAATACATACATGTAACATTGCAATGAAAATATATAATCAATATTTCTAATAGCTATAGACTTTAAATTATCTTAAATAATAATTGAAAATGGTTTTTGCTTAAACTTAAAAAAAATAATTAAAACAGATCAGTTTTACATATTATCCAATAATTCTTGCCATTCATTGTAAAAATCTTCTTATTTTCCCCTAGTACAATATAGAATTTTTTAACATGTAATTAATAAATATATCTTACTATTTCAGTCAATTACGAAGATTACTTTTTTCTCTTTCACACATTCCAATAGGGAGGTCTGCAGCCAAGTATTACAGCCATTCTTTCCAAATGGGCACCTTTGTCTGAGCGTGCGCAAATAGTCGCTGTCGCGAATGCAGGTAATGCGTCGCGAGTATAAAGTGAATTTAGATAATAACGTAGATTTTAACATTTTTGCATTGTATAAAGAATCGCATTTTCAAAGAAAACAACAAAATGACGCGTATTTTTCTTTTAGGTTTAATGATTGGTTCCATATTTACCTTTTCCGTGTCGGGACTTTTGTGTACCATTCCAATACATAACGGATGGCCTTTCATATTCTACGTCTTCTGTGAGTTGCAGATTCTTTAACACATTTATATCCAGTAATGGTTCATACCTCCATGAATAACAGAAATCTCTCTCTCTCTCTCTCTCTCTCTCTCTCTCTCTTCTCTCTCTCTCTCTCAAGATATTTTATTTCAATGAAGTAGATTGAATAAGATTGAAAAACAAATTTTAGCTTTTTAATGAAAGAAAAATATTAGAATTGACATTTACAAAAATTTTCATATGGTGTTGTGTATGTAGGTTTACATAATACGCTCCCTCCGTTCCTCAATGTTTCTCGTGTAATTGTGTTTTTTGTATACCCAATGTGCTCTCTCTTTTGTAATGAGTATATCTCGCGTATGTAGGTTTACTCCACGTGCTCTCTCTATCTTGTCTCTATGTTGTTATGTGTGTCTTGAGTTTGTAGGTATACTCAACGAGTTCTCTTGTTATAATATGGGTCTTGTATATACTGATGTACTCAATGTGCTTTCTCTGCATGTGTCTGTGTTGTTATGTATGTTTTATGTATGTAGGTAGATTCCATGTGATCTCTCTCTTTGCTATCATGCGTGTTTTATGTATAAAGGGGTATACTCTAGTGCCTTTTCTATTTTCTTATGAAACATATGGAGATAACGAACAGTATTTAAGATCAAAAGTCCATAAAACAATACAAAATAGGTGCAGAGCAACCACGGACCTCCAAAAAAACAGAGGTGGGATCAGGTGCCATGGAGGAGTGAGTGTTTTATTTATGTTGGTTTACCCCATGTGCTCTTTCTGTTGTGATGCATGTCTTGTATATGTAGGTATACTCACGTGCTCTCTCTGATGTTAAAGTGTTTGTCTTTTACATCTAGGTATACTCAATGTGTTCTCTCTGTTGTTATGGGTGTGTATTGTGTATGACAGACCAGATGACCACCCAAGAATTACGTGGAAAGAAAGGGCTCTCATCAATTATAAAAGGAGGTACAGTACGTTAGAAAAGGTATGTTTTTATCTCATCCCTGTAAAATAAAGTTTATTTGAAAATATCTAAAATCTAATTCTAAAAGCGAAATTAACGGGAATTCATAGTCTCTTTACCATTTAAATGATTTTATATATGTAAACTCTTCAATCTCATAAAATCTACAAGATTTGAACAAAATCAGGTATATCAACTGGATTAAAACATTGAGTATAACGGATTGACTAATTGAATTTCAACTATATTCAGATGCCATCGCCTCCTTGGTTGAAAATCTTGACCTCTGGTCCTTTTTGGGGACTGCTGATGGCCCATATGTCACATGGCTTCCTGTTTACGACAATCGGAACTTTTCTTCCCTTATATATGAGCGATGTTTTGAAGTTTGATATAGCAACGGTATGAGTGATATATTAAGTAAATTTTGTCTTCAACTGAAATTAGAATTCAATGACTTAGAAGACATGATGTAGTATTTTATTATTATTTTAATTTTTGTTGACAGAATGGCCTCCTGTCCTCTCTCCCTTTCATTGGCCGATTCATTGGGGCCATCGGAAGTGGAATATTGGCAGACAATTTGATGACGAAAGAATATCTTTCGGTAACCGCCACCAGAAAGATTTTTCATGCGTCTGGTAAGACTTATTAATTTGGAAATATACAATCATAACACTCTCAATAAATAAATCATTTAAACGTATGTCTAATGAGGTTATAATTTGTACAGGTATAGTATTATCTACGCCCTTCTTGATTTGGATGAGTTACATGGAACAGTCGGAGAGGACAACAGCTGTCATTTTACTTGTGACATACTGGACAGTCCAATCTCTGAATAACTCGGGCTTCCGAGTAAACCACATCGATATCGCACCAAGGTAGCTGAGAGAGAGAGAGAGAGAGAGAGAGAGAGAGAGAGAGAGAGAGAGAGAGAGAGAGAGAGAGAGATGTTAATATTAAGTGAGTTGAAAAACTAAAAATTCTTGATTATTTATGTAAAGATAAAAAAAACTTAACAGTAATCAATCAATCAATCAACCAAGAAAAAATGTATCAAACAATACAAATCTGTGAACAGAATACCTTCAGATATTCTAGAGATAGTATTAGGAACCTTTCAGGAGTAAGCATATCGTGTCGATCAGAAACATCCGCTCTATATCTATCATGTTGACGACGGAATATTCTTTAGTCAAATTTAGTATGACATGAAAGGCCTACCAATATGTATGAAATATGTCAGACATAATACAACCCATTGATTATAATGCTTATTTCACTTCGTTTGCCATAAAGTTTAATTGTTAATTGGCCCTTATCGGCTCTAGTTAGAATTGTCTACTGAACATGAATAAGAAGAGTTAAAATTCATAAGTGAAACTATTTCCACATTATACACACAAAGAAGATTGAATATCTCCACACAAAAGATGGCCAAAAACATATTCCTCCATTGTGTTCATATTCTTACTTTAACTAAAGTACTGTTGGGCATGTTTTCACTAGTGACGTAGATGTAGTTCATAATGAGGACCTTACATCAATAAATTTAGGATGTCCTGAATATAGGGAACCCCGATCCTTCAACTAGCGTCGGAATTTCAAAAATATTATGGCTTCTGTAGAAGATTAAGTCAGATGTAGGGCCAGACATGAAAATGAAGACCTTGACGCTATGTCAGAATGAAATTCAATAAAATGTATCAGATTTATGTTAAAACCGCGCATTTAAAGATTGAGGGGCAATATGAAAACCATCTATCCTTCTATTATCAATAATCCTGAAGTGAAAAAAGAATTAGATAGCTTACATGATCAGTACGTACTGGTCCCTGCTGACAAAGCAGGTAACAACATTGCTTTTGCTTGTAAGGCTCATTATATAAAATGCATTTTAGAGGAACTGGGTAATTCTAGGAGTGATAATCCAACGTATACTCATAGTTCCCTTTCTGAGGAAGAAATTCTTCAAAATCATCTATCAATTTTGAATCTTTTTAATATTCCAATCAACCAAAATAAAATTGAATTACCACATCTATATTTGATACTATATGAAACTTCATAAAAATCCTTTAACATAGGAGATTCCAGTAGATGTTCAACAAAGCCTCTTTTTTAAGTCCTTACTAAGATATCAACAGTAGTGAAGGAGAAAATTCAAGTATACTGTGCAAAAATAAATTCGAGAAGTGGTGTAAATCAGATGTGGATACATAAAAATTCAAAGGAACTTTAGGAAAATTTGAAACCACAAGATTATACCAAAATGAACAGCTTAAAAACTTACGACTTTTCAGCTTTATACACAACCATTCCCTACCATAAATTATAGGCCAAACTCTTTAATATCACTGACAATTGCCTTTTTCAATAAAAATGAAACTTGTAAATTTACTTGCCTTGTCACTGGTCATTTGCAAAAAAAATTATTTTGTTAAAAACTTAAAAGACATTCTGATTGAGATAACTACTCTGAAGTTGACTTTAAATAGATGCTTGAGTTTCTGATGACGATATCTATGTGTATTTTGGAGACTAGGTCTTCAAAAAATAAATTGGAATGCCCATGCGTAACCATTGCACCCCGTTGTTAACAGACCTATTTTTGTATTCATATGAATCAGAATTTGTCCAAACTTTCATGCGTGAAAAGAGGAAAACACTTGATGTGGCCTTCATTTCGACATTTAGATATATCGAAGAGGTATTGTCATTAAAAAATGGTTATTTCCATTCTTATGTCGATACGATATATATCCCGGTGAGCTTGAGATAAAAGATACCACCGAGTCTGACACATCTGTTTCATGTTTGAATATTTTACTTGAAAAAGACGTTACTGGTAACCTAACAACCAAGCTATATGATAACCTTTAACTGATGACTTTAACTTTTCAATCGTCAATTTCCTTTACTTACCGGTATAGAGCAATATACCTTCATCACCTATATATTGGATTTATATTTCTCAGTTGATTTGATACGCTAGAACATACTCTTCGTACAGACTATTTCTGAAACAAGGTAAATTATTGAAAAAGAAGTTGAATAAACAAGAATATCAGCAGTCTCGTTTAAAGTCATCATTTCGTAAGTTCTATGGTCGAAATTATTGACAAACACGTTGCTGAAACAAGAATATCAGCAGTCTCGTTCAAACTCATTTCGCAAATTCTATGGTCGATACAATGACCTTGTCAGCAAATACAATTTATCATTGAGTCAAATACTGACTGACGTTTTTCATATCAATTTTTAAGCCATTATTATAAAACACTGATTTGCGGATGGATTTTCCCGTTACTACTATTTCCCGATCATAACCAGGAGCACACGGCGGATGTGACCGTTCGGCAGGGGATGCTCACTCCTCCATGGCACATGATCCCACCTCTGATGTTACCTCTGATGTGTTGGAGGTCCATGTTTTCCTCTGCTCCTAATTTCTATATTTAATGGACTTTTGAGCTTTAAAACCGTTCGTTATATCCATTTATTTCATGGCGTCGTTTCATACAAATAATCTTTAAAATTTTTCTTTCTTCAAATATTTATTGTTGCCCTGTGGAAAAACGTGACTGTTTCTTATTGATTTCACATCTCATATATAGTTCTGTCACTTCGTGTTTTACCTGTATAATATATTAATATTGTGTCGTACATATAATCTGTGACCTCCTTTCTGCACTTATAAATTAAATATCTTTCATTTAGGTTTGCTGGTGTTTTGAACGGCATGACTGCCACTATGGCTTCAGTTGCTGCCCTTATATCACCCATAATTACATCGGAATTGACCAAAAACGTATGTAAAATGATCTAAGTACCAAAACGAATAGCTGCAATATAGGTCTTTTGATAATTTGTTTTGTATTAGAGTTTAATTGAGTACTTACATTTTGTAAAACGTCACATTTTCAATAATATACATGAAGAGACGCCACCGTATATTGGCCTTTGCTCAATACTCTGGGCTATTAATCCGGGCCTATCCATCAATGGAGAGAACAATAAAATTCCATTAATGGTTCTCTTTTCAAAACAATTAGTCACCCTAAGAGAAGCATATATAGAAAATATACAAGAAGAAAATTTTACAATTTTGTCCGAGTTCCATCATTTTCTCAGATTTATTAAATGTTTCTTTACTAAAATTATTTTTTTGTGTTATAAGTTTTAAGAATACTGGTACAGTTTCTGTAACTTTTCATTCCAATATGTTCAAACTAGGGCACCCCGGCTGAGTGGCAGACTGTTTTCTTCATCTGTTCTGGAGTGGGCCTGGCCGGAGCTCTGGCCTTCGTTCTCCTCGGCAGTGGCCTGGAACAAGAATGGGCGAAAGACCCCAACATGAATGTTGACATTGATATATCAGTAACCGAGGAAAAGACGCAGCATTTCAACGGGGAAGGTACAATTGCTGTTGATCGTGAGGAAAATGATAGAATGAATGAGATGATCGATACAGCAAGTCATGGCGGAAATGTAAATAAAGCCTTTGATGAGGAAGTAATGGAAGGAATTATTGGCCATGTAAAACTGTCCTCCTCCTTTAAAGTCCAGTCACGTGATTTTGTTGTACCCAAAAGGACCGTTGTGGAATCCTCTGATGACAAAAGCGATTTTAAAAATAAAACAAGATCAAATGAAGTATGTCATTCAAGAAGAAATAGTGATACATCTGTTTTTCTACAGAGAACAAAACACAGTAGAGATAACTTGAGATTGTATTTACCGAACAGTAATAATGAAATAAACCAGTTGCATTACTTAGATGATGACAAGCATAAAGCTGGTGAACTTGAGATTACTCGTCTCTGATAAACTTGGAATTATATCCCAGGTCAACTGTAAAAAGATGATATAAATAAAAGATGATATGATTTACTCAGTTGTTGTTTTCTTTACATTTTAATGATGGAATATAATTTTTTCCTAAAGAGTTGTACCAGTACTTCTTTGAAATCGTTCACACTAGCATAAAGGACGCACAAGCATATAAAAAATTAAATAAATTCTATTGCATCTTATATTCTTACTCACATTTTATCTAGCATCATGGTTTTTGTTCGAACTCTCCTTTACAAGCATTCTGAAATACTGTAACAAAAGTGAAATTATATTATTTTAAGCATGTATAATTTTGTACTTTTAATCAACCTTGTATGACGATCAACAATGGTCCTTGATCATCAAACAAAATTTTGTTGCAAATTAAATTCTAAATACTGTATGTTATATTTTATGATATAAAACTAAACTATGATATAAAACTAAACTATGAATAAATGTACATATATATTATTTCTTCTCTGGAAAAATATAAATAAATGTGCATAAACATTATTTCTTCTCCAGAAGAAATTTTGATACTTTCATGGTTTATTATGTTGGTTATTTATTTATTTTTTGACCTTTATGTCATAAAGATTTGATTTTTGAATTGATCTGCATGTACTCATTTGTGCTCTTATTATGCCCATGTAATCGAAGGTTCAGGGGGAGGGGGTTATAGTTTTTTCCCTGTCTGTCCATCTGTCAATGTCCACAAAACCTTTAACCTCGCCTAGAACTTTTGAGTGGTCGAGGCTATGGCTTTCCTATTTCACATTTGTATTCCTTGTGACAAGACTACCATCAGATTTGACCTTGACCTTAGAGTCTGATCCAGGTTTGCAAGATTTTACTCAACTTTAACCTTGGCCATGACTTTTGAACTAATGGCGCTAGGGCTTTTATACTTCCCATATGTGAACCTTGTGAAAAGACTTTCCTTTAGATACTAACAACTTTGACCCTTTTACCTTGACCTTGGATTTTGACCTTCTTTTAAAGAAGAAACTTGGCCATAAGTTTTGAACAGGTGGTGCATATAATTTTAATCATAAAATATTTTTTAACAGAACTAGTTTAGTTTCAATAGAAATATGTTTTAATAGTGTACAGTTCACTCTGTAAACCCGGCATTACTCTTCTATGTTCAGCAGGAAGTACTGTCTCGGATGTAAGCTCATATATTTCCGTTACGTGGTTATAAATTAAGTAAAACAATGCTCTTCATTTTCTTTTATTGTATGCTCTGGAGTCAAAATCAGGGTATTATTGTAGGAAATCCTGCTCTCGAAAGCAAGAAAGACTTTCCACCTGAAATTTAATTCAAATCCAATAGTATATAAATTTTTGTACAAGTGATGTGTCCTATAAGCATTCTTTTGTTACAAGTAATACATGTTCGTGTGACTATACTACTTTATAATCGGATATTACTCTCACTATGTTTTTTTCCCTCATATTAGTACTATAATCTTTGTAAGTGAATGTTACTTGGTCCTTTTATTTTCTCGCGAATTTTCCACAGGGCACTAAATTTTTACTTCTTTGAGAAGAATTCAGTTAAGGTAAGCCTTATTAGATCTTATTATCATTTTTTAACAACAAATACGTAAGATTGTATCAGGAAATTCATACTTTAAAGCCATTATAATATGTAATGGGAACAAGGGGGAGCAACGGTTTCGAAAGGGGGGGGGGCTCTCAAATCTGACAAACGGAAAAAAGGAGGGAGAATCTTCCCAAAATACAAGTAATCTGACGAATATATACAAAAATTTAAAAAAAAAATGTTCAAAATGTTGGAGGACTTACTGCCCAAAATAACCTGACAAGCAAAGGGAAATAAAATGTCCAGTCAATGGAATTTTTTTAGTGCTCAGCTTTACTGCAACAAAAAGTGTGTGTGGGGGATTTTAGTATGGTAAAAAGTGGGAATGTGTGTCCTTCCTCATGTTCTACAGGCCTCATTACACCACTCAATGATATTAATTCAAAATGGTGTTACGTTGCATTATAAATTCTTTAATTCATTGCTGAATTCTAGATTCCTAAAAAGTTTACGATTTTACTCATTTATAACAAAGGAAGCTCTAAACACAAAAAAACAACGTTTTTTGATTTGGAGAGAGATTTATCATACATGTATATAGGCTAAATGTGTGCATATTGAGCTTAATTTCGCAGGAAAATGATCAAAGACAATGGACTATGCATAAACAGAAACACTGTTGTTTACTTACATTGGAAAAATTAATAGAAATAATGAATTCAATTACTAATTCATGGTCTAATATAGTGCTCAGCATATCTGAGTTTATTACAATTTGTGCAATATACTGTGCTCGTATTAATATAACCATTTTTTCTATACCTCACTTCTAAGGGCACATCACTCGAACTACATAAAATTACCCTTTAATATTAGCAGTCTTTATTGAGCAGTATTTAGAGCTTCCTTAACCTAGGGTTTACAATTGCTTTTTTAAAACTAAAAATCAATAAGGGAACATTTTTGCATATAGAGTTTTTTACTTTATTTTGCATAGGTAGTTATGGTATATACAGTCAACGAAACTTTCAAATGCCTTAAAGTTGAACCTGATTGCTGTGAAAATATCTACTTGAGTAATCCATACGTGCTTGGTGTGGAATCGGTTTCCGTTCAAAACTGCTATGTGAATAAAGATATCATGAATTTCACTGCATTTTTCAACAGAAACAATTCTTATTTTAAATATAATATTTTCCGTTGCTGTGGAGGTCTTGTAAACTTCAAATTAGGTAGGTAAAATTAAAACATTACAATGTTTCCTTTATTTCAATTTTGTTAATCCAGTAAATAACAGTTGCGACTTTGCAGAAAAGATACATAACTCGCGAAATCGGATAATACGAGGGTTGATCCACAAGTAATGTTCATATCTTTTATATTTGGCGTCACATTATCAAACATAATACCAATGCAAGAGATGCACAAATATAAATCTAATTAAAACTGAATGTTTAATTATCATATATATATATACTCAGTACATTTTGGCCGTGGTTTGCGACGATGATTTTAGGTGCAGCGACTAATCGAACGTTGTGAATATTCCGATATTTTGAAAAGTATAAATCATGTTGAATTAAGGAGTAACTGTATTATTTTTCGATTTCATGATGTGATCAATCGACTGGGTTGGGTGATAATTTCGGCGTTTATGCATAAAATTATCACGCAAGCCAATCGATTGATCATCGTCATGAAATTGAGAAATCTGACAGTTATTCCTTATATTTACATGCTTTGATTCCGCCAATCCACGTGCTCCGGGCCCTGCTTCTGTCTAGCTGTTTGTTCCGCCCTGCACGTGGTTTTTTTTTGGAACCGCATCAATACATTGATGGGGAATTCTACCACGATTATTGTAAAGATCAAAGGAAACCGGCGGACATTCTCCAATAAATCACGAACGTAATCAAAAAATTATCAGATCAGAGACACTTATAAAATCTGAACAATTCAAATGCATGTTTGGCTGTAGAATGAAAATACTTGTTTAGCCCGCATCGATGTGTCGTCTTTAAATTGCATCAAGTTGCTGATGAATGTCGGTTTTTATAGCTAAGCGGGGCTATTCCACGAACCTCCCTACACATTAAACAACGTGATTTTAGTTTGTAAAACAGCCACATGATTTTGTTATTGTATATTCATTACAAAATGACACTAAAAATTGAACAAATTTGTAATTTAAAAAGTCGTATTTTCAATGTAACGAAACAAAATCGTCGTACATTCTATACACGGGTAAGCAAACAAATTTTCTGATAGTGGTTATTGTGCAACAGACCACGAAAACGTGACTTTATTTCTTAAATAAAGTACATTTACAATTTGTAATATTAAAAATATACATTGGAAGATGAAAATAACTTTTAAGGTTAAAGTGAACTAAATTAGCTTAATTTTTATTTTTTGTTGTTCATATAAAGCTGAATTATGATTTTTGAAGTCGTGACATTACTTTTGGATAAAATCGTATATATTTTTTTAAAATTTTTCTGCTTTCTATGGAGGAAATTCACAAAAATAAACTATAAACATGAACTTAATACAATTGATAATACTGTAAAGGTTTACATTTGGCTGTGTATTCTTTTTACAAACCGTAAACTATAGTTAACGATTGATTCAAGTACAACAATAAATATTTGTACATATACAAATAAAGAACTATTTTATACAGTCGTTAAATCAAATTTTCGCTAACTAGTTTATAATTTAATTTCCGCCAAATAACAGGCTAAATATAATACATTTACAAAATTTCAGAATACTTTTGTAACACGTTTACAAAATACTAATTTGTTATAACAAATAAATTATCACAAATCGTGAAACTTATAGATTTTTGCTTTGATCTGGCTTTGTAGATCTGTATACATTTCAAATTTTGTCAAAAATAGTAATTTGTTTTAACAAATTACTGATTTGTTTTAAGAAATTACTAATTTGTTATACCAAATTAATAATTTCTTTTAACAAATTAGTAATTTTTTTAATATCAGTTTAATAATTTGTTACATCAAATTAGTATTAAATTAGTTATATCAAATTAGTAATTTATTATAACAAATTAGTAATTTGTTATAACAAATTTGTAGTTTGTTTAACTAATTTTTTTGATTAAGGCGTGCCATAAATTTCTTGTACAGAAGTTAAATTAATGAAATTTCTAGAATAGAAACAATATTTTTGGCATGAAATAAAACTATCATTTGTTTTATTGTGGAAAAAACTGTGGTTTAATTTGTGCATTTCTAAGTTTAATGCAGAAAAGCTTTTTAAGAATCTAATTACACTGTGCTTATCTTCCTTTAGCAATGTTCGATAGTAAACCAAAATCCGTGAAAATCTTTTGATTTCAGTTTTTATATATATTATAAACTGCTTTGAAAAATCACATATCTCAAAATCTTTGTGTTGATTTTCATTTATTTTTTATTGTTCATTCTAAATTGTTTCTAAAATTTTTTTTAATTTTTTAAGAAATTTTGCAAAAATGCACAATTAATGAGCATAATTACAATATTACAGGTCATCACTCTCCTTCCAAGCAAAAACCCCTCTCTTATGAAATCTGACAAAATTTTACGTCACAATAGAAAAAGCGACGTCATTGTTTTGCAACAAAAACGATCAAAATATACGCGCCTGACTGCGTTCCAACTATATGCTTTGTTTTACGTCACAGAATTTTCTCAAGTTGCTTGATGCATAATTTTTTATGACTATTGTCTATTTCATAACATACACATTAAACAACGTGATTTTGTCAGTAAAACATGTGCATTAAACATTAAAATGTATAAGATTGTTCTGATTAAATACATAACAAATTTGTAATTTACAAAATTCTATTTTCAATGTAAGGATATATAAGCTACATTAATTGAAAAGACGTATATCAAACAAATTTTCCTTTTTTGTTTTGTGTTGAAAAGCGATAACTTGTTAATACCATGGTAACCCCCCCCGTTTCTCAAACCACCACCAAAAAATTATAAGAATATAATGTAATAAAGCATATATAGAAATAAATACATGTACATACATGTATTTTTTTACAAATTTGTGGAAGTTCTGAAAAATACCGTATTTGACACGCATCCACACCTACATTATTCATCTAACTGCTAGTCGGCTTTTATCTTTCAACCCCCCCCCCCTCTCCGGCATCACTGGATGCTGATGTTAACAGTGAAAATTTATTTCAGAAAAAATAAAGTACATTTACAATTTGTTTTTTATGTGCATGACAAAGACATTGGAAATGTAAATATTTGAAATTGTGAAAAAAAAATACATTTCCAAAATATTTTAATCATTTATAATTTTGTTGTTTTCGTCTAACGTAGGTAGCAATTTAATTTCAAGGTAGATCACATACTTTTGGACATAACCTGTATATATTTTTTTCTGCATTTTTCTAGCTTTCTAAGAGGAAAATCAGAAAATTAATGAACAATAAACATTTTTAATACTTTTGTTGATGTAGTTTGAAAAACATTTGGCTGTGTTTTTTAAACGCATGCTCATGGGAAAATATTTAAACGTTATCATTTTAGTGCAACAATCTTTCACATTGTATATGCAAATGTGGAAAAAATAAAATCAAATTTTAATAGTTTATAATTTATTTTATCAATATATTGAAATCCTATATAAGACATTTACAAAATTTGGAAATACTTTTGTATAAAATTTACAAAATTTTAATTTGCTTTCAAAATAAATTTGCAATGATACATGTAGAATTTCAGTTTAAAGTGCTAAATGAAAGATACAAACATTTCAAATTTGATGTTGACAACACAAAATGTTTTAACAAATTATGTTTGTCTAAGAAATTTTTACGTCATTTAGTTAGCCAAAATTAATAATTTCTTTTCCATGGCTTTCCATTTTTTTATATCAGTTTAATAATTGGTTAAACATGAAATTAGTAATTAGTTATATAGAGAATTACCGCATTATTATAAAAACTAGTAATTTGTTGTAACAAAGTAGTTTGTTATAACTAATTACACTGTCCGCTACATTATGGCAAGCACAAAATTACGGATATATCTTGAAAAAAACAATTATTTTAATTTCAGTGACCATAAAAAATATCTTATATAAACAAAATCAAGGTAACTTTTGAAACAAATGTTTAAATTTAAATATATTGTTTGTTTGTATGTTGTTAAACATACATGAATGCAGAAACAAACGTACATAAAAACTCGACAAGCGAAAAAAACTTAACAAACGTGGAGAGCTGCAAATATTGTCTTATAACCGGCACTCAGGTCCTTTGAGCAGTGAGGGATCTTTTTCGGTGCCAGCCCTTCAACTCCTCGGGCACATTTTCTTTTTACAATGAATTCAATGATATGTTAAAACTTTTATTACTAACACAAAAGTATCACCTCCTCCCCCCGCTTTCAGAACACGTGGACTCTTTGTAAGTTGGTACAAAAATGGACACAGATGTTGAAGTTAATATATTCTGTATAACATTAGATTTATATTTTTTCCTAGCATTTCACACAAAAATATATTAAAAATGTATGTGTGTAAAATGTTATTAAAACTTAAAATATATTTTATGCATTAAAAAAATTAATGTATGAGAAGCATTTTATTCTAAAAAAGTCCAATGTGCAGATTTCAGTAAAACATGTTGGTGTTAATAAATTTCTTTATGTGTTTTTTTTTGTATAAAAATTCATATGATCAAATATTGTACATTTGTAAAAAGATTTTTATCAAAATTTTCTGAAATAGGCCCCTGACTTACACATTTTTATTAGTCCTAAAATATTTCTTTTAGCTTTTGACTAACTGGTACGTTTTTCAGAGGACCTTCATGATAGAAAAAAGTGTTGACCTGTGAAAATAAAACCTGTTGTTTTAAAAAAAAACAAGCTAAAACAAAAAAAAACAAAACTGATGACATGTATGTTTTTAAAATCTCATACGTGTGTGTAACTGAGGGTAAATGTTGAGAAAGTATGTCTAACTTTCACTTTCATAGATTTGCGTGTAGCACAATACATGTACTCCATAACCCCTTTTTGTTGTTTGATATTGGGAAATGTTGCTGTGTGTATTCTTTATATATTAATTACATGTACGTGGTTTTCTGCATTTAAAATATACTAGATTTTTTTTTAAAAGATGAATCAAAAGCTTTGATTCAGTGATAAATACGCAAATTTGTTAAAGTTTTTATATATCAAAATATATTACTTTAACTATTCATAAATTACAGAGTTTAAGAGTATATATCAAAATAGTCTAAATCGAAAAAAAATGCTTATATATCGGGAGCCGGATGTTTCATTGCAGATTTACCGCGTGCACGTTTGTTAATTTTTTAACGTTTGTCTTCTTTTTATGTACATAATTCTGCAAAGAAAATGCATATGGTTTTGCATTCATATATGTTTGGTAATCATCATTTACATTGATATATTGCTTACAAATGTATATTTGTTCATTAACAAAAAGCAAGTCCTGTTGAATGCTGTATATCTTTGTCATTGTTTTATGGTCATTGAAATTAAAATAATTGTCAAAAATAAATTGATGAACTAAAATATTTTTGTTGTTGCTGGTTTTATAGAATTCATCTCATATTTCTTGTAAAATTGAAAGTGAAATTTTACAGAATCAAGACAATATAATATTTGTGATGTTTTCTGAAAGTCAGAAGGTACTATTTGAACTTATTGGCATAAAAATTCCAAGTTATGAAAGCTTTTTCAATAGTTGAGAAAAAAATGGATAAATCAAATAAGGCTTATATATATGAAGCAGAACGTTGTGGAAATATGCCAAGTTACTAATTACGTACATTTCATATTTTTATATGAGAAAAGCCTTAGAAAATTTATAAAATATTTCTGTGCGTATAAATCTTCCTTTGAATACCTGTAAATCCGTAACCACCGATCGCCCGTTTCAGTTTTTGGATACTGTGTATATTATGTAAACTGCTTTGAAAAAACATATTTCAAAATCTTTTGACGACGGTGGCAGAGTATGTTTTCTGAAAGGAAATTCCTCTGAAAATTGAAGTTTTTGTTTAAGAAAATACTGGAAAAGAATTTTGACGCCACAATTAGCATTTAATTATGTGAAAAACGATTTATGTATTCTTACTGCATGGAATTGCTATGATTCAGAAAGAATGAATTTTAATTTCTTATATCACTTTCATATTTTTGAAAAATACAGGGCTTATTGTGTATTGAAAGTGTACCTGTTTTTACCTTTGACTGTTTTATATTAAAGGCAAGGTCAGGTCAAGGTCATTACCTTTTCCTTGAACATTAAGAATGAAAATTATTGTTGCCAATCATGTAACCCCTATTTGTATTTCAAAAGATTGAATGTTTTCTTTTTGCATAAAAATCGTACTACAATATAGGGCCTATAAGATGATATTAATTACCAAATTGAAAAGCCAAAATTAAATGGCTATTGGCTAATCCGAATGTTCTCTACTTTTCAAAGTTTTAAGATATACATTGTACTAGTATTAGGTATTTTTATATGCTTCCTTTATTCAAAATTTTCTTATTTTCACATATAGTAAAGCTGTCACATAAAGATTCAAATGGTACTAAAACAAAAAGATTTGATCGTTTACTAAGAGAGAATAAAAACTTTTTGCGGACTTTTGGTTCAAATCTGTACTTAGATTGGAAGCATTTAAAAGCTAACATAGTTCTTATTTGTTTGAAAAATAATATTTTTTGATATATTTTGAAACTTTAGTCCATTAATAATAAAAACCTATATTTGAAAACTTCTTTAAGTCTTTGAGTGTGTAAAATTCATAACTAATTTCATTGCTCTATAAAAAAATGAGAGACAGAAAAGAAGATATTTTCATACGCCCCGATTCCTCCAAAAATATAGTTCCTGCTTATTTCTAAAAGCAGTTTACCATATCTATTTAAAGATGTACAGTGGTGATGAGGAAAGAAAAATATGGTCATTTAAATCTCTTACTGAATATATAAGACATATAAGCAAATATACTTTGAATATTTCATCTAGTCAGAAACCAGAGAAGATTCCCACCTATAACAAATTGATTTACTAATTTGTTTTATCAAATTGACAATTTGCTTTGATAATTTGTTAAAACAAATTGATAATTCATTAAAAAAATTAAAAAAAGATTATGTTGCGGCCCTGATACGCTTCCGTACATATCACCTGTACAGGAATCACACAGATTTGGGCATCAAAAATAATGGGAAACATGGGATTAATTATCACATGTTTCCCACTATCGTTGATGTCCCTGGCATACTATGAACTAGACAGTGATTCCTTATATTTCAGAAAGTGATTCCTTATATTTCCGTTTCACTGTGAAATAAAATTGTAGATTTATATTTTTAAAATGTAGACATAGACTTAAATTACTCGAGGACTTCCATGCCAATTTCCATAGCCCTCTCCCACTGACGTCAAACACAAAGACAGCCGCACGAGATTTTCATGCATATTTGGCATCCTTGGCGTCAGACACAGAGACAGATGCGCAGGAGATTTGCATGCACATTAGGCCTCCTTAGCTCCTTATCGACCTGCCTAATTTAAATTCCGGCAGGTTTAGCAAGAAATTAACTCCGCTAAGTTTCAAAGAGTTATCACAGAGACAAAAATAAGAAATGGAAATATTTCCATTTCATTGTGAAATAAAATTGTAGATTTAGATTTTTTAAAATGTAGACATAGATTTAAATTACACGAGGACTTCCATGCCGATTTCTATAGTCCTCGCCCACGGACGTCAAACACAAAGGCAGGCGCAAGAGATTTACATGCACATTTGGGCTCCTTATCGTCAGACACAGAGACAGATACGCACGATATTTGACGATATTTGCATGCATAGTAGGCCTCTCCTGACCTATCGACCTGTCTAATTTACATTTCGGTAGAATTATCAAGAAATCAACTCCGCTAACTTCAAAGAGTTATCACAGAAAGAAAAAAAATAGAAATGAAAATATTTCTTGATCAGTGATTGTTCCATCAATGATACGTATTATGACATACCGATAAATCATGCAATAATTTATTATTCTTCTGTAACTTAGTATTTATATAGATTATAATAATAAACAATAAAATTTCGTTCTTTGGTTGTTCGTACGGGAATTAAACCGCGGGTTATGTATTTTTTTTTGGCAACAACTGCTACATTGATTTCCGTAATAATAGACAAAGAAAGCACACCATTTATTAAAAAAAAAATCCTCCAGTCTAATCTTGCAATTTCTCTAGCGTGTTTTATTTATTACACTAAAATCTGAATGGTTTAGACGCATATAAGGTTTTGCTAAAGGTCAAGATGTCCAAAACTTTATATTTGATAGCTCAAAAACTATAACAATAGCTATTTTTTCTTTGATGTCATTGGCACACCCAAACAAACTAGACAGTGATTTCATAATTTTTTTTTATTTCATTGTGAAACTTTTAAAATGTTGTCTTACAGATTTAAATTACACGAGGTCTTCCAATGCAATTTCACTTGATAATCAATTCAATTGATAGTCCCGTCCCGCCCGTTGACGTCAGACACAAAGACTGACGCGCGAGATTTACACGCGTATTGGGCCTCCTTAGCTCCTGACCGCTTGGCAAAATTAACATTCCGATAGAATTATCCAGAAATTTCATATTTCAATGTCTGTTGATTTCTGTGATAACTCTTTGAAAGTTAGTGGAGTTGATTTCTTGATAATTCTTTAGGCAAAGCGATAGGTCAGAAGGCCTAATATGCATGACTGTAAATCTCGTGCGCAACTGTCTTTGTGTCTGACGCTAAAGCGGCCAAATATGCATGTAAATCTTGTGCGGCTAATTTTGCGTTTGACATCAGTGGATGAGGGGCGAGGACTATTGAAATTGACATGAGAGGGCTCGTGGAATTTAATTATTTAAATATAGATTTTCAAAAGCCAAATTTACAATTTCATTTCCCAATAAAACGGAAATATAAGGAATCACTGTCTAGTTAGTAAAGTATGCCTGGGACATCAACGATAGTTGAAAACATGGAATAATATATGCATGCAAATTATCCCACGTTTCCAACTATTGTTGATGCCCAGGCATACTCTACTATCTAGACCGTGAGTCCTTAAATCAATGTACTGAAGATAGCTCAAAATGTTCCATTCAAACGGAAAATTTTGTCACCTCTACATTGATAAAAAGAACCCAATTTGTAATGAATTTCTCAAAAATCGGTTTTAAGTATTTAATTATTAAAGGATTGAGAACGGATATTGGTTTTCTTATGAAATGGAGAAGAAATACTCAATGAATGGAAAAATGAATATATTGCTTAATGTTTATACATGCCATGTCATCAAGTCGCAATACCTTGATAACAAAATGAACGTGAGTGTAAAATCTACCTTGTTGCGAGTACAAAGCTATGTGCGACAGAATATAAGAATGGTAGAATGTTGATATGGCTGTTATTTTTCACTGAACAGCGGTCTCTGAGCTCCTTGGCAATGCTGATACTGATGCAGTAACCACACAAGGAATTTCAGGTAACACCGAAAGCCCCTTCGTCGTCAGCATAGTCTTCGCTGTTCTGTTTGCTGTCATAATCATCATTGGTGCTGGGTTCTTTCTGCGAAGTAGATTGAGAAGACGGAGAATGACAAGACAAGATTCTCGGTATGATTTTAAAAAAAATAACAGATTGATTTTTTTAAAAAACTTTGTTCTAAAATTATGAGAGAGAGAGAGAGAGAGAGAGAGAGAGAGAGAGAGAGAGTAGAGGGATCTTTTCAAAGTTTGGTCATTTTTTGCACTTCACGATCAAGGTTAAGAAGTACAAAAAATTGGTACAAAAAGAAAGTTTTCAGAAGAAAAAAGCGATGGAAATATGGAAGCCCTACTGCATTAACAATTCAAAAGTTATGATCAAGGAGTTTTTTTTGTTGGAAAAACAGACAACTAGACAGACAGAAAGAAAGAGACAAACAGACAGCTTGACAGACGGATGGACTAAAATCTATATGCCCATGAATCTATGATTGCGGGGACATAACAATCAAATATACTCATACATGTAGGCGTCGCAAGCAAACTGAAAGTTGCGGGGGGATGCTAAACCAACAAAAAAAGGCAAGCCCAAATTGTCAAGGCTATATCATGTCTATCTTTGCAAAACAAAGTTATGGGGGGTACTCTTGTACTCAAAGGAGAATGATCATTCAAGCAATAAAGGAAAGCAAAGCAGATAAAGTGGATACCGGGGCAAGAGATGTGTTCTGAATTCTTAAGCATCACTACTGTTCAATTATGTCTTTATGTATATAATTATATATTTAAGTTATTATTGTGAACAAAGTAAACCTTATCTTATAGGTACGTGACTACAGCAAACAGAAATTCACACGTGTATGCTGTACCAATAGCTAGTACAGGGTATTTGTATCCGGAAACTTCACCTCCACCAAAGAACACTCTATCAAATCAGAATTATGTACACGAATATACAGAAATCATAGAATAGCTTATTTAAATCTTAAAGAAAAGTTGTACTGAATTTAAAACTGTTTGTTATGTATACCGATTGATGTATTTTGACCGATGAAGAGGGTAAACAAGTCTTATGTAAGTATATTATATCATTAATTATAATCAATTTGTACACGCATAAGCGGCTGGCTAAAAGGAATCATGCTGATCATGCTGATATATTCATTTGAACTTTATACGTTTTACTTTCACCGTTGAACTTTACCGTATCATGACACTTTTTGGCGATGCATGAAAAAAAGACATAAAAGTTTTCCAGAATTCTAACAATCATTGTTTGAATTCAAGAGAAATGCATTTTATACATAATAGATTTGTCACATGACAGTGTCTCTTTTGTCTCAAAGTTTTGGAACATATTATTTTGACTTAGTTCCTTTTTTTTTATTAAGATCTTTTGTCTTCACGGAAGATCTGATAGTGATTTTATCGTTGTCACCCCGCTGTCACTGAAAAAGGGAGATATTTAATTATTATCTGCCTTTCCGTTTGTCTTGTCTTCCTGTCTGTCATGCTTGTTTCCATGCGAAATCTCAAAGATCCTTTGTTTGACAGAGCGTTTGCAATGTAATTTTAAACTATGTTTTTAGAAAGATATTTTTTGAAATTTGTTTTTTTTTTTAGATTAAAAGGTCAAAATTCAAGATCGTAACTTCATACATTCTGGCTGTGTGTTACTCTTTCGTTAACTGCATGGTGATATCCCAAGAAGCTTTAAAAATAAAAAAAAAAGGGGTACATTATCAGAGGAAAAATGACAGCTAAAATTATTTGAGTAGCACCCGACCCCCCCCCCCCCCCCAATCACACACACCAAAAAACTGAGAACAGACTTAATTCAAAATTAAATGTCCTGACAACGAGTATGAAAAAATTCAGTCAGCATTTGAATTAACGATAAATTATATGTGCTGACAAGGTCATTGTATCCACCATAGAACTTAAGAAAATGGTGACTTCATACGATAATGCTGATATTCTTGCTTCATCAACTTGTTTGTCAATAAATTACCTCGTTTAAGAAATTGTTCATATGTACATGTAGAATATGTTCTTGCAAATGGACTGAGAAATATGAAATATGTATATTGTTTCATGAGTAAGAGAAGTTGACAATAAAAAGAATTAAAGGCATTACGATTATCATAAAGCTTTGTTGTTCATTTTCATCATATTCATATGAATATAAAATAGGCCAGTCATTACGGAGTGCCACTGGTACCCATGGGAATTCCAACAGATTTCTGGAAAACATGCTCTCCAAAATCCCCATAAAATAGAATCTCGAGCATCTTTAAAATATTAAATTCAGAATAATTGTGTATACAATCAGATTGTCTTTTAACAAGGAAATGTTGCAAATGACCTTTGCTAAGGTAAGTAAATTGACGAGTTCCATTCTTAATGAAAATAAAGCTGTCAATGATGTGAGAAAGCCTTGAATTAGTTATGTATACTAAGCAGCCAGTCCTCTATTCTGCAAAGCACAAGAGATCTTTTACAAGCAGATCTAAAAAAAAAAACTAAATAGACATAAAAATGTTCCAACTGTTAGTGCTCTTTAATCGTGACCAGTTACTTAGATTATTGTTATCCACAAAAACTTTGATAAAGTGCAATGTTAGTAATGATAATTGAGACAATGCTGGCCTTAATAACCTTTATCGAACAGAATGTTGAAGTTCACAAAGTCAAAGATAGCCTATCTTTGACTTTGTGAACTTCAACATTCTGTTCATTAAAGGTTATTAAGGCCAGCGTTGTCTCAATTATCATTATTAACATTAATCTATTTTAATCAGTTCATAACGCCTAGCCAGATTGTGAAATGCCACAGGCATACACAGTATTTATGCCTAAATGTACGTATAAATTCATTGATATTCTAAGTTGTGAGCAAAAGTGAAAACAAGGGAATTTTGAGGTAGTTTTTGGGAAAAATCAGAAGAATGATTAGAATTATTTTTCCATTCCTGCTGCTATCCTGCTTTGGTTTCTCGACTTGTGACGTCTATTCAGAGGTTGGTTTACGTTGTTTAAAATGTATTTTCCCTACTTCTTCAGCGAATTTCATCGGAAATATTTCAAGCTCGACTTGAAATCTATTAATTGAATTTTGTTTAGTTTAAAAATCATGACTTAAAAGAATTTCAATGTTTTTAACTTCTACATATACATGTATAAACTCACAGATATACCAGTTCTAGAAATTTGTTGATTACATGTAAGAGTCCACAATACAATACTGCACTTTGATAATATGAAATTATTGAAATACTTTTATAAGTGTTAGACATAGTTAGTTTCGAGAATATCCATCAAAACTTAAAAAAAGTTGCAGAGTGGTTCAATTAGAAAAGTAGTTTATCTTTACAAAATAAGCGAAAAAAATCTTAAACAAACAAAGAAACAAACATTTTTTTTTTCAGATCAAAGAATTGCAAAATGGACAAAAAGAAATTAAAGATATGCTGAAAAAAGTCCTATCAAAATTACAATCAAGCAACACGATTGCGCCAACATCTTCTCAAGAGGCTGACGAAGGATCATCTTTGGTAAAGATAGAAACTTATGTTTGCAACTTCTTAAATAAAAGCAACAAAGGGATTTTCAGACCATAGGTCACGTTCATTTGATACGTTGATGGTATGATACTTTTTTCTCTGATGACAAAGCAATGTGCTATTTTGATCTTAACTAAGAGCATTCTGAAAAGGACAATGGTTTAGAAAAGTTCACTTACAGTTGTGACCATAAAAGGGCTTCTTGGATCTACTGACAAAATTTCTCAAAATAAAGTTAGAAAAGTTATTTGAACATGTTGATTAATGTTACAAACAAAATATCTATTTTTGAAATTTTCTTTGGTTGATTGATTGTATATTGTTTAACATCCCTCTCGAGAATTTTTCACTCATATGGAGACAACCTCCAGTACAACATTATTTACTGGTATTTCACTGTATTACAGAGAGAACCTGTTTAAACATTAAACTACATATTTATTCTTATTTGCCTTTCCTTGCAATCAAGATTTTTATAAATTCATCATCATACGAGGGCTGTTCCATAAATAATGTCCTAAGTGCTATGATATACAACATAGAAATCAAATGAATCATAGGAAAAACTTGATTTTTCTCTCATGATTGAATCTTTAATGAATTGATTACAATTTATGTGACCATTTTGTATCACATAATTTTATTGTGAGAAGCTGGAATACAAGGACTGTACGAGACAATGTATTACATGTAAAAATGAATGGTGAAGAATCAGTAAACTAGAATGAAATCACTGTATACAAAGTGCTAATCGAAAATCTACTTGATTTGGATCACTAGCTATATTTGTTTGGATCATTCGAAGTTTCTATCTGCATATTTAGATAAAAAATGTCTTTTAAATACGTTTTCTTACTAATGATAAAACTACTTCAACCAATATGAGACTTCTTCTTGGTATATTTAAAGATTATCATGTTTTTGTGTCATCTACCCCTCCTTAAACATCGGTAGCACGCGTTTTTCACGCATCTGATGGTCATTTTTCGACTAATCATCCACTGGAATGGACTGTTGACATTATTTCAATAAAACATTTATTGTAATGTTTAATATGAATCTTCATCAAACGTACGCTATCAAATTTGACCACAAGGTCTTCTTTATATCTTGACAATTACATCAAATATGCACCTACCCAACTTTTCCAGAGCTATTTTAGGTTTGCGTAGAAAATATCAAGCAAGCTATCTTTGTTGTCATGACAGCTATACTTTTGTCGAGTATATATATAGCATTTAGGCCTAGTGCAATTAGTAAAATAATTTATTGACGTTACTTTGTGTTTACAACAGTCTTATATAATACTTTCTTCCCCAGACTCCTCTTACATTTCAACATTGGCCCAGTCCATAGGAGGCCCATGTGTCATATGCTCACCTTCAGCGTTTTGGGTTCAGTCAGTGAGTGTGATACATATGTAATTATATAAATTATAGAAAAAGTAGTGTGGCCCCTTGGTTAGCTACTTAGGTACGAAGGAGAGTACAAACACACAGGCACATGACGTTACTTATTTTTCTTTTAATAAAAAAAAATTATACCCCTACCTAATAACATTATGAACCTTTCGTGAAAGTATCTTTTTATTTTCTAATGGAAACAACTCTAATGACATTTTCATTTCGTTAATCAATATGTTTAGTTCCATTTTTTCATTCCGGAATAAAGGATGGATCAAGCATATATTTCTTCGGGAAAGGGGAGAGGGTTACATTGTTGTCCATAACACTAAAAGATCCCAACACAAAACCCTACTTTATGGTTGGGGATGGGGTCGGCTTAATTGGTGGACAAGCTACATTCTTCCATATACATTCTCATTTTTCCTATCAACTTATGACAGTCATTCATCAACAAAAACATACCAAATCAAAAATTTTAATGTCGCTTACCAAATTGAATTTACTATTGTAAAATTTTAAACAATTCTAAAGATCGATTTCAGCTCTTAGACTTTACATATACTTAATACACATGCTTTTGTAAATATTTAGTGTTATATATATGCATTCAAAGTTGTGATGTGAAAATATAATGATTAAAATGCATTCAACTTCAAATCTTAATGCCGCTTCGTTCATTTACAAATTTCAATTCAGCCAAATAAGCGTTAAGAAGAGTTTGCATGGAATATTAAAAATGTTTTAATGTAATAAAAAGAAAACAAACGGTTACCACATTTCTCGAAGAAAAGCATGGATATTTTTTTTATCAGAAATCATAGCATATAACTGAAAATCAAGTAACTTCCGTAACTATATTCTTTTATCGTAGACTGACTGTTATGAGTTTGTGTTTCTTTGGGAGGGGGGCAAAGTTTTTTTGATATGGTACTTTAATATTCTTAAATTTTTGTGAATTTGAAAAAACTTATCAGATCTTGATTCCCTGACCTATATCCACTTTTCTGGATCTGTCTATGGGGATATAATGCCAAATTTTAATTAAACTTTAGTCTTCAAAGATTCTGTTTCAGATTCTTCGTTTTAAGTTTTGATGTCTGATGATAGTGTGAAAATAGGTGAAATATTACAAAAGTTGCATTATAATCTCTTTATCATCAATTTATAAAAGAGAGAGAGAAAGTGTATAAGGCGAGGACAATCAGGAGGAAAAGTTTGATTTTTCTAAAATTATGTTGTCGGTAATGTCATCTTCAACATATTTGATTCATATATATTGTACTGAAACACATATTGATTGCAAATTGTTTTAAAGCTTATTTAGTGGAAAATAGGTACGTTTATATTCAATGATTCTAGCCATAATTTGTTTTTGAATATGAATGGATCAGGTTTCTATTCTAAGTCTTATGTTTAAATTACGGAGAAGTAAATGCATTGTGTTTTTTTTTTTCTAAATGGAGTCTGAATCCAATCTATTTAAAAGTCGAATATTTCTGAAATTAAAAAAAAGTGAGTATAATGAGCATTGATTTATGTCGAAAAATTTACATGTAAGCAGGGCATACCCGGGTAAATACGGACCCACCCACCCCCGGAATACATGAGATGGGAACAGGTGGCTAAGAGGAGTAAGCATCCCTTGTTGATCGGTCACACCCGCGGTGAGCTCTGTGTATTGATCAAGTAAACGGAACATTTCGTTATCAAATTTTATATAAAAACTAAGGTATAACAATTGGGTGAAAGAAGTAAGCCAAACAACGATCCAAGATAAATTAAATGATAGGTGGAAGAACATTATTTGTCTCAACAAATTCGTTTCGTTAAAGCAAACTGACACACATTCATCAAGAAGACACCGTAGCATATCGTGGTTAACGCATTCAGTGTTGCACCTATCATGAGCTTTGGAGAGAGTTCGAATAGTTTGTGAAGCCCTTTTTTCCGTTTTACATACCTTTAAAACATAGGTGAAAATATATAACGTGTATTTATCAATAAGTATTCAATGACATAAACTTGAGAAAGTGTCTCTGGATTATACTCCCTTTTTTTACGCCTCCATTCTTCAAGAAGTATACTAGGCAAATCAAACATAGCATTTCTGTATCAATCGCGACAAAACGCAAATCAAGTATCGCACAAACACAAGCAATGATAACACATTTCATCAAATTCTATAATTATTTACTTCTGTTTAACTTCTTTCGACTGATAAATGTCTCTCTTGTGATTATGAAAGCCAATATTTTTTTTCAAAACTGTTTAAATCGCGATAATTTTATCAAAAAACAATAAATCTTAATTTCCTGCAAATCACAAAAAGGATCCGAAAAAGTGTAGCCATCGGAAAAATATGTTGCAAACATATAATAGCATTCACTCAAAACAAGAACAGCCCAATCTCTCTAAAAAGCGTAATTTGTAGAAATCAGATGATGTTTCGAGGGTGAATTGAGGCGAAAACTTATATACAATAACTTTCACAACAGAATATATTTTGAAAAAATTAAGAACAATTGAAATAATTCAAAATGAGCGAAAATCCCATATTAACTTAGTAAATGAAAACGGTATCGAATTTCTAACATGTTTCCACTTAAAAATTTTCTCAAATATATTTACATTGATTCTATAAAGGTTTGAGAGGTTTCCTAATTTCCTAATATTACTTTTCCCATATTTTGCCTGCAAAATTTTCTTTTTTACCCACAAGGCTTCAGAGTACCCAAACAAATATAGCTAGTGATCCAAATCAAGTAGATTTTCGATTAGCACTTTGTATACAGTGGAAATTAAAAGCTTCATTATAGCTGACGTAAAACTCGTTATGAAACCTAAAGAAATATTCAATGAAATATGTAAAATTTACAGCAACCAATGCCTGTTTTATAGACTCATATGAGCAGGTTGATTTCAGTGAAAAAATATGATATACTGTATTAGCATCAAAAATGGGCACAGTCCTTGGCAAAAAGGACTTACAACAACAAATATACGGCTTGTTAAAATTAAACAAATTATCTCTGATGATATTTGGTTGACTTTAAGACACAGCAAAATTGATAGGCATCCGTTCGGGGGTAGTTTATACCGTTTTAAAGAAACAGTCGACGGTAAAAAGCTTAGTACTCAATGGTCACCCTATTTTTTGAAAATAATGAGTGAAAACGACAGCGTGTAAAAAATATCTAAACAATTGTATTTAAAAAATAAAAAATTGTAGCGATCAGCATTTGTCTGAAATTCGAAAAGATACCCCCTTGGTAATAAAACTTGAATTCATTGCTCTAAACCCTCAAAACAAATTTACAGAAAGATACATTTGACAAAAACAGTCATGATCTGAGAAAAGCGAAGAATAGCGAAAGCACAAAACTCGTTTCATATATCATTTTCTTAAATATTAGTGGTCTTGTTCAAATTCATACTTAGGGAGGCAGTTTAAATTCTTGATAAGGCTAGAATGCAAATTTCTGCAAAATAAATTGAAAGGTTTATGAGAAGATGGAACCAGAATTAGGAATCCACTTCATCAAATTTCCTATGTCAGCGTCCAAACCCAGACGCCATGAAGAGTAAAGGAGTTTTGGGGATAAACAGATAGTTAATGCTTGTCACACCAACAATATTAAAGGAGAATATTTAAGTGAAATCATAAAGAATAAATCACTGAAAAAAGCTTTTTGTTTCTTTCCGAGCACCGAGGAAATTATTTATTGAAGAGCCCTCGTATATATGCACATACATCGCTTGGATCTGACTCACTAGAGATCAATTATTCCTCACCAGCTATATTGATTTTAGATACAAAAATGATGAAAAACATTTTCACGGGATTCACTAAAATTTGAATGTGATTGTATGTTGATTACGTCCCTTGAGACTTTTTCACTCATATGGAATACACCCCCAGTTTCCGGCGGAGAGCAGCAAATTTTGTTCTTAACTCGGCCTTAAGGGCTATTAAGCAAGGAGAGATCTTTTTCGTGCCAGCATTTACTGCGACACGGGACCTCGGTTTATAGTCTCATCCGAAGGACCGGTCTCCACGTCCCACAGTGGGATTCGAACCCGCGACGTAAGGATCAACTCCTTCGCGACTCTAGAGCAGATGCTCTAACTACTGCGCCAGAAATTTTGTTTGAAGTTTTCCATGTTTCCCATTGAGGGGGGTTGCTGTTGGATTAAACTTGATTTTTGATTTCCTAACATACAAAAATTTACCTATACCTTTTGTTTGTTCCTATGATAATAAATATGAAGATCTACAATTCTATAAACACGTGAGTATGATTTGTTTACAAAATGTAACTTAAAAAGTTTATAAACATGACAACTCTTGCTTTAAACAATCATACAATGCATATAAATACCTTCTCCATACATACCTTTAAAAAAAACTTTTTACTAATGAAGTGTCTGTTTGCTTGTGTAGAATATTCATTTAAGAAACATCGTACTTTCATCTATAAATTTTGGATAAATAATTAACGCAAGTGATGTTCTTATATGCCTTTTTAAAATGTCAATGAAAGTCCGGAACAAAGGAATGGTCCAGCTCTGGTGGTTCTGTTGTATCTGCCAGTAAAACTACTTTGAGAGACAGTATTCGACTGCAGATAGAAGTGTCGTTCTCTGAGCATACGGATACTTTCTGGGTAGTTGATCAACGGCTCATTGGAGGTTATTAAATTTTTAGCTCACCTGAGCCAAAGGCTCAAGTTAGCTTTTCTGATCACATTTTGTCCGTCGTCCGTCCGTCTGTCTGTCTGTCCGTCTGTAAACTTTTCACATTTTCGACTTCTTCTCAAGAACCACTGGGCCAATTTTGACCAAACTTATTACAAAGCATCCTTGGGTAAAGGGAAATTTAAATTATTAAAATGAAGGGCCAAGTTTCTTCACAAGGGGTGATAATCAAGAAAAGATAAAAAAGGGTAGGGTCATTAAAAAAATCTTCTTCTCAAGAACCACTGGGCCAGAAAAGCTGAAACTTATGTGGAAGCATCCTGGGGTAGTGTAGATTCTAAATTGTAGAAATCATGACCCCGGGGGTAGGGCGGGGCCACAATGGGGAATCAAAGTTTTACATAGAAATATATAGGAAAAATCTTTAAAAATCTTTTTCTCAAGAACCACTGGGCCAGAAAAGCTGAAACTTATGTGGAAGCATCCTGGAGTAGTGTAGATTCTAAATTGTTCAAATCATGACCCCCGGGGTTGGGCAGGACCACAATGGGGAATCAAAGTTTTACATAGAAATACAGGAAAAATCTTTAAAAATCTTTTTCTCAAGAACCACTGGGCCAGAAAAGCTGAATCTTATATGGAAGCATCCTGGGCTAGTGTAGATTTTAAATTGTTCAAATCATGACCCCCGGGGGTTGAGCAGGGCCACAATGGGGAATCAAAGTTTTACATAGAAATATACATGTATAGGAAAAATCTTTTAAAATCTTTTTCTCAAGAACCACTGGGCCAGAAAAGCTGAAACTTATTTGGAAGCATCCTGGGGTAGTGTAGATTTTAAAGTGTTCAAATCATGACCCCCGGGGGTTAGGCAGGGCCACAATGGGGAATCAAATTTTTACATAGAAATATATAGGAAAAATCTTTAAAAATCTTCCTCTCAAGAACCACTGGGCCAGAAAAGCTGAAACTTATGTGGAAGCATCCTGGAGAAGTGAAGATTTTAAATTGTTTAAATCATGACCACCGGGGGTTGGGCGGGGTCACAATGGGGAATCAAAGTTTTACATAGAAATATATAGGAAAAATCTTTAAAAATCTTTTTCTCAAGAACCACTAAGCCAGAAAAGCTGAAACCTATGGTAAGGCGGGGCCACAATGGGGAATCAAAGTTTTACATAGAAATATATAGGAAAAATGTTTAAAAATCTTCTGATGAAGAACGACTGGGCCAGAAAAGTGTAGATTTCAAATTGTCTAAATTATGATCAGTTGGATAGGGTGGGGTCACAATATTTGTATTACAAGGGGGAAATCTGGTAAAAAACAGAATGGTCAAAGCTTCTCGGGTGAGCAGTGTGGCCCATAGGCCTCTTGTTATAATTTCTGACCATGTGCTTTCATACTTCTAAACACAAGGGTAAATAAACCTCATCACAGTAAATTTAGATACTAGGCAGTAGTAAACCGAAATGAATTTCCAAAGAAAAACTTGAAAACAAACATATTTGTTTTAATGTAAATTCTATCTTTTTAGCCAATGAAAAGGACTTTGGTACAACAACAGAAACGTTCTACAACACTACTCTATTCACTCTGAATGCCAAAAAGCCTGTATTCTTTGTGATGTTCATGATTCCTGGCAAAGACGAAATGGTCACAAACATTAGATTTGACACAGAAGGAGAAGATGGTACAATTGAATTTTACAACCCAATTACTTGTCAGTCATCATTCTCTAAAATCTCCAAATCTGAATATGATTTCTTCTACCGCTGTAATCCTGAACTTGATCCTAGAAATGGTTGGTATATGGATGTTGGATTGTTTTCCAGCGTTCAAAATGAGATGGTTGAATATAATCACCTTGAACCGAAGGAAAATAGGTACGCCAATGTTACCTATGAACGAAACTCAACAACAGAGGCAACAGTTGTACTTTCAGATGAAACTTTGGAGAAAGTAGGAGATTTCCTATTTCTGCAGAGCTCTCTCAGTATACCTATAGGTATTGTAATCAGGACCATATTACACGAAAGTGTTTATGATATAAGTAAAACAAAAACAACGAACAATTTTAAATTTTTGGAACCAACCCAACCTTCACCGTTTTTGGAAGGAGATATGATATCATTAAATTGCAATGCACTTGGAAGACATCCCCCACCCATACAAGTGGAAAGAATTGGTGCTGAGATAAGTTCGTCACAGATCGCTTATCTTTTCAAAAATACTACAAAGCTCTGGTCCTCTTCTTCCATTACATTCCTTCATGCATCAAAGGAAATAGAGGGTAACTACTCTTGTGTAATACAGAAGGATGGCGAAAAAGTGATTTCTCCTCAGTCTGTTGAAGTAAAATTAAAACCAAGATTGCGCTGGGATATGACCAAAATACTGAAGAGCAAACAAAATCAGGTACATTTAATTTCTTTAGAAAAATTGCTGATAAGCTGCGTTTTTTTAAAATATCTTTCTTTTTGTATTCCATTTAAAGAATAGAAATAATATATTTTTTACTGAATCTCTTTTCTTGTAAATTTCAGACCCGTGTATGTGTGGTTGTGGAGGGAGCAATTGGTGTTACGTTGAACTGCAGCAATAAATCCTGGTCAGGGAAAGACAATCCTCCTGCTCGCAAGGAAAGAAGAACAGAAATATCAGAGTGGAATGAACGGTTAGAAGTTACGTACACATGGAGGAAGATGAACATTATTCAGAATGAATTCAACTATTCCTCGGATTCTCCGTCTCTTTCTTGTATCGCAAAAGACAAACACGGCGACTTGGATTTCGAACACACTTTCTGGCAGTAACGTTTAAATACATGCATTTTAAAGTATGAAATATTTTGTTTATTAATTGCGTCCTTTCATCGAGAATTTAGCATGTTTATAATTACGAATTGAGGGTTTCAATTTTCCCAGAATAAAACCCAAAATACCTAAAATGGAATGGAAACGTCTTTAGTTATATTTCATTATGTACATGCAGAAAGTTTCAAGAAAGTCAGTTTCCCTATTAAATTGAAAGTCGTGGATGTAAAATTTTATATAGGACGCGCCAGTTATAAGGTTTTCTAAACGTCTGCATCGAGTTGAATTAACAGACCCAAATTCTACAGATTCCAAAGTTATTGTGCTGAATATTTGTGCAATAAATATTATGTAGGGAGATATGCAGGATATGAACGTCTTCACAGTTAACGAACTTGATCTGAACGATTCAGACTTTTCAATCTGCCCTCTTTTTGCTGGTGAATATGAAAAAGAACATCTATCAAACTAAGAGATACCTTTCATTCAAGCTCATCTTACCTGGGTACTGTTGGCAACAACTTTGTTATATGCGTGATATTTTAAAACAAAATATGCTCCTAACAGCATGATATTTCAAAAGTACGGCAAACTTCTTAAATTAGGCAAGAATTGCTATAGAAATGTTGGCTCTTGTAGAGATATAAATGCGAGTGTTTTAATATCGATTGTCATACAATGTAGTTTTAAGCTGACCCATATCATATATATAACAGCGAGCAAAATGCCTAAATAAAAACAGATATGACAGAATTGTTGGTGTCTTAATAACAAGTATTCGAGGACATGTCTATGATATAAAAAACTTTTTTAATTTATCAATGGTTAAAGCAAAGAAAAGTCGTACTCTTAAATGATAATGACTTTTGAAAAGTTGGGTTTTTAAGCATAAATTTTTACCAAAATATTGAATGATCAGGGGTTCAGAAGTTAAAAAGGGTCTTAGTTGATAACATTGGGTAAATGCATAAATTCTCAGAAAAGTTTTTTCTCACCCTGTATATAGGTAAACAAAAAGCCTAGGGTTATGGTGAACAATGATGTCTCTTCGAAAATTTTTAAATCATGTAAATGCATGACCCTGAGTTAGAATCTGTGGTGTAATCGCGGGCTAATTTGATTAATAACAGTTGTAGTGAAAACTAATTTTTAAAATTGAAATTAATCTTTGTTCTTGGGTATACTTTAGATCATTTTATTTCCTCGAATTTTTTACGCGAAGATAAAGTTCCCGCGAATAAAAAGTACTACATTATGAAACAAACTTATTTAATGCATAAACACAATAGGCAAGAGTGCCTCTTCCAAAATTCTGGCCCCGCGTCGGGGTTGATCTTTTTTTTTTTTGATTGTGAAAATGCTTAAATTCTTTGAAAATACTTTTCTATGCCTCTGGGAATTTAGAGTAAGTGCATGATTATGATTTCCAAATTGTAGGTTTGGGCTCTTGATTATTTAATGAAAATCGTTTAATGCTTTGAAAATCTTCTCTGCTACTTAGAATCTAGGAGGTGTTGTAATAAGTAATGGTATTTTTATCATATTTGTAACATTTGGAATTACTGGATCAAGCTCTTTGGTGCTGGACAGGACTCTCTAGATCTGAGAGAGAATTTTTACTCTACCGAAATTTATTTCCCTATGACATTCATCTAAGGTCATTCAAACTCAGAGGCCGTTTGAAAAAATTAATTATACATTTTGTTAGTGTACAATGAAGATATTTTGATTGCAAGACTTGTAAATGGTATTTCAACTGAGGGGATACGTCAAAAGTAGTTCCGAAATAAGATGATTGATAAAATATACAAATTAAATATAGAAATTTCTGATCATATAAGCTTAATTTTAAGATTTTAAGGATTAACATCAACTTTCTTTCAACCTATGTGTCTGACTCCCAGAATGAATCAGTGGATTTCAACATCCTAGACTAAATTAATGAATTTTACATCCTAGACCGAGGCATTGGATTTCAATATCCCGGATTGAATCATTAGATTTCAAAATCACTGGAATTCAGCATACGAGGGTTGTCCCGTAAAATCATGGACAAAGCGTTTTTCTCCCAAAGTCATCGGCGCACTTAGCTGAAATTTTCAGTAAATTCTTCTATGTCATATTTGAGTGCATCATGATTTTTTTCATAATAGACAAAAATAAAGATTTTATTATGCTGGAATGAGAACAAGGTAGGGTCCCACGGCGCACGGTAAAAAAACCAAGATTATATTAGAGAATACACAGGTAAAAATTCGAAATATTTTTTTTAAATATATAAAATTTGGATAAAATATTATCTATTTCGATTTGACAATTAATTTTGTCGTATCTTTAAAGTTTGCAAGGTATTTAATTAATTTTTGACAGTTTCCCGAGCATTCAAAATGGGAAAGTGGTAAACACAACACACGAAAAATGGCGACGTTTGATGACGTTACGGCGCACCGGAGAGCAGTTCACCTTGATTTAGATTCTGTAATGACTTTAAATGAATACAGAAGAAAAAAATAGTAAAAATATCACCAGACCTTTAGTATAGAAATGTAATGGGAGGTTTTCTTAGCGAAGTCTTGTTGATAGAGTCCTCGGGTAGTACAAAACACACGGACAAACTGCTATTGTAATAGCAAAAGACGCTGTCACTGTCGACCATTGATATGATATTCTCTATTAGTTGAATGATCGTGAGAATACTGTCTGTAACTTACTAATAAATCTTCAGGAGATCGCATGTGTATGCCAGTTTTGTTCCTCAACTGTTTATTTAGACTCAAGTAAGTAAATCAATGGAATTTGTAAATTTAAGTGGGACTTATCCAACTTTATTTTAAACGTGACACTGTTTTAGACACTCTGACGTTATCATCCGTGCGCCGTAAGGCAATACAATACATAACACAAAATTTCAAAGTTTGTTTATTTAATCACATATCTAATTAAAATTTGCTATGTATATTCATAATATATGTACTAAATAGTGGTAAAAATTTCAGAACACAGTGATACTTATTTTTTACACTAGACAACTTGTCCACAATTTTAAAGGACAACCCTCGTATTTATGCTTTTTAAAGGTTGTTGAGGTAATCATCATCTCATTTATGAATCATACATAGACTCAAACCATATTGCAAAATGCCATCGGTATAATTGCTGAACGATCGTTGTAATGGCCAGTATTGCTATGTATATCTACACCTACATACAGAGTTTCCTTTTATAAGCATTCATTAATCGGAGGATCATGTTCGTGTTTTAGAAAAAAAAGAGAATGAGAAAAATTACATTTCTATTTGTACTTCAGTCCTGCTTTCTTTTCTCCGTATCGAACGTCTATTCAGAGGTTGGTGAAATTTTTTAAATAGCAATATTTGATATATAAATATATCATTTTTATGTTTGTTTGTTAAATTGTTTAACTTCCCTCTCGAAAATTTTTCACTCATATGGAGACGCCACTACTTGCCGGTTAAGAGCTGCAAATCTTGCCCCATACTCAGCACTTTACGGCCAATGAGCAGTGAGGTATCCTCTTCGTGCCAACATCTATTGCGACACGGGATCTCGGTTTATACTGTCTCATCCAAAGGACCGGTCTCCTTGTCCCAGTAGGATTAGAACCCGCGACGTAAAGATCATAAAGTAACAATTACTGTGTTAGAATTATTTAATTAAGACAGTTTTAAAGCTGTTAAAAATACAAATAATTGAAATTGAATATATATCTAGAGTCGCGGAGTAAGGAGGTGGTCCTTACGTCGCGAGTTCAAATCCCACTGTGGGACGTAGAGACCGGTCTTTCGGATGAGACCGTATAAACCAAGGTCTCGTGCCACAGCACTAAAAAGATCCCTCACTGCTCAATGGCCCCAAGAGCCGGATATAGGTAAAAAATAAAATCGTATCTCTTCACCGGCAAGTGGTGGCGTCTCCATATGAGTTGAAAAATTATCGAAAGGAACGTTAAACAACAAACAAAAATAAAACAAACATTTAGAAAAAAAATTTAGATACTACAATATTAATATAATGAACTGTTCTGACTTATATATCCGTATCATTTCTTTTCAATACATCAAGTCTGAAGCAGAGAAATGGTTCAATTCTGGATCTTCTGTTATTTCCGCTAGTAAGACTTCTTCTGGTGATGATGTTCGACTGCAGATAGAAATGTCTATACCAATAAATACGATCGTTGTTTGGGGAGTGGATCAAATGATCATTGGAGGTAATAACAATTTGGTAATGCCTGCGATGTGTATGGAAAACTACAGAAAAAGAATTGATGTTGGAAACCACCAGAGACAAAACAAATGCTTGATATGTCTTTAAATTTTTTGATTCATATTTAAAATTCATTTAGATTAGCATAAAATAACATAAAATCTTTATGTAAGCAGTTGTTTGCTTGCTTCTTGTGAACGTATTTCACTGTAATTTTTGTGTCAAAATAAAGGCATGGGGCTATTTCCGATGTGTAAGAGTAAACTTAAATAATAAATACCTGCTTAAGTTTTCATATTCTGCTAATAGTAAATTTCAAATTTTGAAACAAAGATGCATGAATTTTATATAAAATTATATATGTCTCTGGAGTTTTGAGCTTATTGTTTCTATTTTTTTTACAAATGAAAATGGGAAAAAAATTAAATTACTCGTACAAATAGGAAAAGTCGGGAACTTTCCAATTTAATAGTTTTTCTCATTCTAGCTGATGAAAAGACTTTTGGTACCTCATTGTCAACGTTGTCTAATACCACACTGTTCACTCTTGAAATCAAAGATCCCCCGGAAGCTGTTTTCTTTCTAACCTTTAGCGACAACGAAATAGTAACAACCCATATGTTTGATACAATACGTGAAGATGGAACAATTAAATTTGACAACCCAATTACTTGTCAGTCATCATTCTCTAAAATCTCCGATTCTGAATATGATTTCGTCTACCGGTGTAATCCTGAACTTGATCCTAGAAATGACTGGTATATGGAGGTTGGAATGTTTACAAGCTTTAAAAGTGAAATGGTTGAATATAAGCAAATTGAATCGAGTGAAAATAAGTATGTTAATTTAACCACTGAGCGAAATTCAACAGCAAAAGCAAAAGTTGTACTTTCAGATGAAACTATGGAGAGAGTAGGAGATTTCCTATTTCTTCAAAGCTCTCTTACTCTGCCTATGGATGGTTTAATCAAATCTATATTATATAGAAGAGTTTATGATATAAGTAAAATGAAAACAATCAAGAAATTCAAATTCTTAAAAGCATTTGAACAGGAACCACTTTTGGAAGGAGAAATGGTGCCAATAAATTGTGAAGCAATTGGAAGGAACCCTCCACCTATTCAAGTGAAAAGAGATCGTAAAGGGATAAATTCGTCAGAGACAATATACAATTTGAAAGATAATACAAACGTATGGTCAATTTCTTACGTTACTTTACTTCGTGCATCAAAGGAAATAGAAGGCAACTATTCTTGTGTTGTAGAAATGGACGGCGAAACATTCATTTCTCCTCAGAAGATTGAAGTTAATTTAAAACCAAGATTACGCTGGGATCTGACCAAGATTCTGAAATCCAAGCAAAACCAAGTACGTAATATTTACATTCCTGTCCTGGCTTTTAAGTGTTTTTCATTTCATCTCCATTCTTGTAATTTGTATAGAATATAAAATGAAATTTGATTAAGTTTCCCTTTTTTCTTCTAAATTTCAGACTCGTGTACGTGTTGTGGTGGAAGGGGCAAAAGGTGTTGTATTGAACTGTAGAAATAACAAATGGTCAAGAAATAGATATCTTCCCATGAGCACAGAGAAAAGAACAAAAATATCAGAGTGGAGTGAACGTTTGGAAACCGAGTATACATGGAAAAGGAAGAACATTGACCAAGATGAATTCAACTCTTCGTTGCATTCTCCGTTTCTTTCATGTATCGCGGAAGACAAAAATGGCAATCTGGCATTTGAACACACTTTCTGACAATGAGGTTTACAAAAATATTTGTATTACGATTAATTTTCTGAATAATTGCCTTTTCTTGTAATTTGAATCAGGAACTGGCATGCCGAGGAAAGAATAAACTTACACAATCAATAAATGTTTTGTTTTTTTCAATGTACAGCTGTAGTAGAAAATGTGAATAAAATTATCCGCAGAATGTTAACGCCCCTGACATTTTATTTTTTGAGTCATATTTGACAAGTTTTAGACCTGAAAACGAAATCGTTTATTTATTTAAGGAATAACTGTCTTATTTTTCGATTTCATGATGATGTGATCAATCGATTGGCTTGCGTGATTTTGGCACCAACTTAAGTTCTTAAAAGTTATTGTAGAAAAAGAACTAGTTACTATCTTTAATTGACAACAAGTATAATAGATTGAGCAAAACGACAAAACATGATATGACTAGCTTCATTTGAACACATAATAAGCACCGGTGGATGAAGGGTAGGAGGATGGTCAAAATCTTCTCCCTTCTAAAATTACAGTAAACAATGATCACGTGATCCGAATTAAAGGATGTTGTAAGACGAGAATCTTAACTGTAGGCATGACAAAATCCGGAATATAGAAAATTAAAATTTTACAATAGATATGGTATAATTTGCATTAATGCCGAAGGCGTTAATGCATAAAATTATTACGCAAGCCAATCAATTACATGTAATCATCGTCATGAAATTGAAAAATCTGACCGTTATTCCTTATATTTAAATGCTCTTCATTCCGCCAATCCACGTCCGCCCTGTACGTGTGTTTTTAACTGCGCAAATACATTGATGGGGAAGTAAAGTGCATTTACAATTGTGTAATTTAATTTATCTCGGACAAAGACATTGGGAATGTAAATATTCTTGCATCCATTCAAAGATCAATGACAACGTCAAGCTGAAATCACAAAAAATTAAATACACTTGCTACAATTAGTATCTGGTATGTATAATAAATTGGTAGCATATTATATTTTTCGATTTCTATGAAAGAAGATCGAGTAAACAACAAAAGTAATTCACAAAGTGATTTAAACATTTCTGTTTGTAAATACGATTAATATCGACTCAAGATCAAGAGCAATTATACTTATAAAACAATATTGATAAGATTTTATTTTCTAAGAAACGGATAAAAAATAAACAACAAAGTAATTTACATAGAGATTTAAATATTCCTTCTGGTAAAGGGTTTTACATGTATATGCAAGTAACACATTTCTGAAAAATTAAATAAAGCACATTCCTTTTATTATAAAAATCTATTGACGAGCAAACCATCGGTAAGATCAGTGTCCAGTATGATTTACTGATTACGGAGGTATTACATTGGACGAGGTATGACGAACTGCATGAATGTGTTAAATAATTATTCTGCTGTATCACAACGTGTATCAAATATATAAGGGACAGATTGCCATCAATGATTTATTTACAAACTTTTAGATTCATATACATTAACATCAAAATAAAAATACTTTCCTAAAAAGATTTCTTATCATCATAGCCTATCTACGTTCCAGTGATATACAAATGTAATTCTATGTGCCTTTTTACCTCAGTATTTTGTCCGGAAATGTTCTCTCAGATCATATCTACAATCCAAAAATTTGATATCGTAACCATGGAAACAGACGAAATATAAAAGAATTCGATATTTTTTTTTCAACTACCGGGTAGTAGGCGACAATAAACATACTTTATGTTTCCTAATACTTGCGAGGTTATATTTATGGAGTAATATGATTGTATTAATGATTTCAACGTATGTCCCCGTTTACTGGTATCTTTGCAATTTAAGATAGAGACACTAATAGGTCCCAGGGTTTGACACATTTTGGTCTTGCCATTTGGGAAGCCTTAACTTGGTACTGATTTTAAGTTGCTCGAATGAATGTCAGGTTGCCCGTACAAAATATCAAAACAAAAATGCGCATTTGTTTGTTTGTCATTGTTTAAATGTCTTCCAATATTTTATCAAAAAAATAAGCAATAAATTTACATGTAAATGCGCAGAATCAGATTGCTTATTAAACTTTCAAAAAATTACGTTCATTTTCACTTATACTATAAATGCCTTAATAAATGGGGCCACACATCCTTGGACTGATTTAACTAGGTGTGCTATTCACAGTGGACACTAGCAGCAGAAACTCAACATCAGGAAGTTGTATTGGGAATATGGCTAGATGTTACAATTATAATCATTTCTCTTTATATCCAAGGTGATCGTAGACTAGGATGAAATATTTTATATCTGAAAAAAAAAAACCTTTATTTAACACTTTCGGTAAAAACTGCATCAGCTGATCGATCAAACACAAATTTGGCGGAAAGAAAAATACACGCGGCTGCAATTTGAATGGGTCGGTCGGGTTACAAAAAGCAACATTTTCAAAGCCTTATCAAGTTTATTTCAAAATATTAAGCAATAGAAAGTAAATGAACACATTCACGTATAAAAATTTTAACTTTTATAATTCTAAAACTAAGCATGATAATAATGTAAGCATTGTGAAGTTTGGTTTCAGTCACGATTTTGGCATCTAAAGTTACATCGGGAGTTCTCTAAATGTCTTAACCTAGATCAAGACACAAGCACAGATATCGTGACAACTTTTTTCACACAGGTTTATGAAAATCCCTGTCTCCATATATGGAAAATGACACGAGTTTCAGACATGGGTTTACAGAATCCATGAGCCCATATATGGACACCAAAACAACACTGACAAATTTTGTAAAACCGTGTAATATCCCGTGCCGTGTCCATGCTTTTTAAGCGGGAAAATTCGAAAACATTCATATTTGTTTACCTTGTTTATTCTCGAGTCCTTAAAATGTCCAAGGGTTCGACATTCACTCTCGTCACATTGTCATTTCCATCCCAGTTAATTTTTTATGACTTGATTTTCACTCTGGCTCGCTCAAATGACAACCTTGGACGAATCAGGAATATTCAATAGTGTTTCTGTTAAAGATTTATAATTTATATAGTTTTTAAGTTAAGAATTTAATGATAATGTACAATTCTATTATTTTTAATCTAAGTTTGCACAATCAAATTTAAAGAAAGAATTTTATTCTAATAAAACTTTCTGTCATAGTAATGTCACGTAAAATATATAGGGATTACTGAGTGAAAGTCCAGACATTTAAATACACAATGCCTGTTAGTATTTCATCAAGTTCATTGTCAACATTACAACACAGAAAGATCACGAAAATTGAATATGAAGTTGTTTATTCTATATAAGACTTACTGTATTTAGTACAAAAGTGTTGAAATTAGGAATTTCAGACCGACATAAATACAATTCCAACTGACATCTATTAGTTAGATATCGTTCAACAAGATTAAGAACACACATTCCTTGCCCATGACCATGAATCCCGCTAATTTAAATAGAGGAAGTTCATAATTGAGAATGTTCAATGAAAAGTAGTGAGTTGTAAATAGATCGACTGAAGCGAACACGCTCATATTAAAATCGGTTCCCTAGAACACAGATTCAGTGCCTCCACACGGGTTTCTGTGAGGGATTCCTCACTTTTAGACTCAACATACGACACGAAGAACCCGTCCGTTTGTTTATAAAAAGCCATGCAAGTTTCTTGCCTTACCTGTATCTAAGGTGTGCCTATTCCGCCTCAAAATTTTGTACGCCCCTCCTCCTGTGTTAGATCTAAATGTTTCCTGGGAGATGATATCTATTATCGCCTTCGAACACACCATTCTATAATTTTGCTTCACTTTGTCCACTGACCTATAAACCCTTCCCCTGGAATTTACCGCATTCATGATTTTTCTCAACACTTCCGATTTTTTAGCATTCTTTATTTGATTTGTTTGTTTAAATTTAATGACAATGGCGTTTTTTTTATTCCATCCATTGAAAATAAAACATCATCAACAGAAAAGATCTCAAATCCTGGCCTTTTGTTAGAGGCAGCCATTATTGGATTAACCGAAAGACAAATGCAAATTAAATACACTGTGGAATACCAACCAGTGGTGAAAGCATTTAACCACTGGTAAGTTAACCACTCCAACAAATGTTCTTTGAGCATCATATTTTTCTCCAGTGGTTAGTTGGCCAGATACAGAATTAAAATAGTTACGTTATCCATTGGTCAAATTAAACCAGTGTAATAAACAATCTAGTCGTATCCACAATACTCTAATAATTGCCTGTACAGTTTATGAGAAAATCAAAGTTTAGCAGTTTCACTTTTCTTCATTTTCCATGGCAATGGCTGGTGTTTGTACATTTTAAGTTGTCATTCTCGCAACTACAGTTAATGTTTATAATTTCTATAGAAATTCATTACGAATGTCTGAGGAAAAACCTGGATTTTTTGCAAAATTGGGTCGAACCACAAGCATATCTAATCAATTGAATTAAACTCCGTTTGCAGGTTATGAAGGTTTATTGCTTCATAAGTGAAATGAGGGAAGTTTACGATAGGAAAGTAAATGTCATCATTATTTGAACACAGAGCTGAGTTGTTAGATTACCATAGTGTCTTTTTCAAGTAAACTATCCAAGTATGAATCAGATTTTACGATAGATGAAAATTAATGGGGCGCAATTGATACACATGAGATATTCAAAAGATTGCTAGAAGACACGATCTCTTAAAACACATAGACAATCATTTGTCAATTGAAAACTCCAGCATCCTTTAAATATCATCTTCAGAGTACTTAATTGTGTATACAATGAAAATGTCTGTTAACAAAAAAAATTGCAAATGACCAATGACAAGGTAAGCAGGTAAGTACAGAGTTTTATTTTTATTGAAAAAAAACAGCTGCCAATGAGAAAGCCTGGACTTACGAATGTGCTAAGCAGCTGAACAGGTATATGAAAACACACAGCTCAACGGTTTAATAAACCAACATTTGCAAGCAGATCTTAAAAAGCTAAATAGACATAAAAATGGTTCGACTGATAATACTTTTGAATCGTGACCATATATTTAAATTATTGTTATCCACATAAAACTTTGAAAATAGGAAAATAAAGATTTAAATCAAGAAACTTTTTATTGATTTTGTAATTTTAAACACAATGTTCATTGAAGGTTATTAATACCAGCACTGTCTCATTTGTCATTACTAACATTAATTCAATATAATCATACGTAAATTCTACACAAAGCCAGATTGCGAAATGCCACTGGCCTGGCATATTTAATATAAGCTACATTATTTACGCTCATATATATGTTTTAAATGCAAGGGTTTCCTAAGTTGTGAGCAAAAGTGAAAACAAGGGATTCTTGAGGTATTTTTTCTAATGAAAACCAGAAGAATGATCAGAATTATTTTTCCATACCTGCTTCTATCCTGCTTTGGTTTCTCGACTTGTGACGTCTATTCAGAGGTTGGTTTACGTTGTTTAAAACTGTTTATTTTAAATAATTCTTCAGCAATGTTCATAAGAGGTATTTAAAGCTCGACTAGACACTTATAATTTGTTTAGTTTAAAAATCGTGAATTTTATTAAATGTATTTTTTAACGCTTTCTATATATATAAACTCATATAATCCAAAAGTATGAGAAAAAAATCTACACAAGTAATTAAGTAGTAAAAAATAACAGAACGCCGATTAAAACTCTACTGGTTTCAATTGTATCATAAAATTCATATATATAAATAAACCAATTTTTAAAATTATATTTAAGGCTCTACAATGCAATTTTGCTCTTTAATAATATGATATTTACTGATTCATATATTGAAATACTTTCAGAAGTGATAGATACGAGGACTGTTCAATTAATAATATCATAAGCTAAATGACGTACAACATAGAAATCATTTGACATTAAGGTTGACTTTCTCTCATTATGCAATCTTTAATAAATTTATTACAGTTTATGTGACCCATTTTCATTACATACTAGTAGATGCATTGTGGGAAGCTGCAAAACAAGGGCTATTCCAGACATTGCATTAAAATGATTGGTAAAGAATCAGTAAACAAGAGTGAAATTAAATGCTTCATCAAAACTGATGTAAAATTTGTTAAGAATTCCAAAGAAATAAAAAATGAAATATGTAAAATTTACAGCAACAAATGTCCGTTTTTAAGTCACATGAATAGGGGGATTTCACGAACAAAATTGATATAATGAGCATCAAAAATTGGCACCATCCTTGGCGACAAGAACATACAACAATCGTTTTATATATGCGAAATTTCAACAAATTATCAACGATTATGTTTGAATGACATCATTTTGGGGGTAGTTCACATTGTTTTAAAGAAATATTTAAAGTACAAATGTTTAATACTCATAGGTGACCCTATATTTTGAAAAATGACTAAAAACAACAGCAAGTAGGAATATCTCAAGGGACACCGACCCTCAGCCAGAATTATTGTGCTTCAATGTTCTTTGCAAATCTCCATAAATCATTTCTAATTTCATATCATGTTAATAAGCATTGGTATCTAAAAATGCTTTTACGGGATAAAAATTTCTAATTTTAATTAGACCTTTCTGAGTTCAAAGAACCTTGAAGCACATTAAGAGGCATATAATGAAAATTGATGCATGAGAAGATTTACTGTTCAAACTTCATTTAAAGACTTTTTGAATTAAATTATAAATTAAAGAGTTGTCCTTCCTGGCTGAGGGTCGGAGTTCCTTAACAGTTATTAAAAAAAACCCCAAAAATTGTACTTTTCCACGTTTTTTCTGATATTCAAACAGAAATGAAACTTGAACGAAGGATATGAAGATAACAAACAGTATTCAAAATTAAAGTCCAATAAACAATACAAAATAGGAGCAGAGAAAACACGGAACTCCGAAACATAAGAGGTGGGATAAGGTGCCATGGGGGAGTTAGCATCCACTGCTGACCGGTCACACCCGCCGTGTGCTCCTTGTCATGATCGGGAAATAACGGGAAAATCCGTCGTCAATTCAATGGATAAATAATGGACTAACAATAAGTATGAAAAACGTCAGTCAGCATTTGACTTAATGAAAAAAATATATTTGCTGACAAGGTCATTGTATCGGCCGTAGAACTTACGACGAGACTACTGAAATTCTTGTTTAATCAACTTGCTTGTCAATAATTTACCTCGTTTTAGAAAATGTTCATATAGAGGATGCTCTTGCGAATCAAATCAACTGAAATATATACACTCCGTATGCAGGTGATGAAGATATATTGCTGCATAGTAAGGGGAGTTGACGATGGAAAAGTTAAAGAAATCACCTTTATCACATAGCTTGGTTGTTAGATTACCATTAACGTCTTTTCAGATAAAATGGTATAATCTGTGGTATCTTTTATCTCAAGGTTTTATCTTAATCCATTTTGCTTTAAATCCTTAAAACAAATTTACAATAAGATTTACCTGACAAAACAGCAAAGGCCCAAGAAAGCAAAGAATTGCCAGAGCACAAAAACCGTTTTATATGCTATTTTAAAAAAAAATATTAGTGGTCTTGTTATTCAAATTCTTCTTTGGGGAGGACGTTTAATTTCTGAAGGATCAAAAAGGCTATTTTTTTCCCCAAACATTGAAAGATTTATTAGAGGAATTCACTACATTTAAATTCTTCATGACAACGTCCAAGCCCACAGGCCATGAAGAATAAAGGATCGGAGTTTTGGGGATAAACAGAAAGTTAATGTTTTGTCATATCAACAATATTCGCCGGATCTTTCAACCTTTGACTTGTTTGAATTCTAAAACTTAAAAAATACCTTTCAATACAATAAAAAAAGTCCAGGAAATCATAGGATCTGCTAAAAAATATTCCAGTATACGAAGAATCATACTCAAAAATGTGTTCTTAAGGATGAAGTTTACTCAGGTTTCAGAAAACAGAAAGGAAATTTTATAGAGTATAATATGTTAAATCAAAAGTTGCTTTAAATGAAAACAATAACAATAAGTTTTAACTCAATATCAATTAAAAAAATTATATTTTATTATTTGAAGAACATATACGGGAAGAAAATCAATGTATGGTAATGCAGAGGAAAAAAATGGACTAAATATTTAATTTTTCATTTTTGTCAAAATGTTTTATTTTTTGCAATATTAATGTAAAGGTTACATGTATTTTAAAACATAATTTTGCAAATATTAATATGTATTTAACCTCATAAATTATTTCAATAATTGATTGCTATGAAATAAAGAGATTCAATAAAATGAACAAAAACCATTCCGGACAACATATCTCAATAATTTGATCATTGACCCCATATATATAATGTTAATACCATGAGAATTAGAGCAACAAACGAAACCTTACGCAATATATAATCTAGAGTTCTTATCAGTCAGATTTTTGTAATATTCGATTAAAAATTGGGAAAAAATAGAAATATGACAGAGGAAATTAGGACAGTTATAATTATCAAGTTTATGACTCAAACTCTAATCCTTTCTTTATATGAAGCAACGTTGTTCCATTGCAATAATATTTCATTATTTAAAGAGTTTTGTTGTTTGTAATACACTGTATATTATGAGTGAAGAAAAAATTGGTCATAGTGTGACATATATTTTGTTGGCCTAATTCTTATGGGTCAATGATCAAATTTTGAGAATTGTTGTCTGGAATAGTTTTTGTTCAAATTGTTGAAATTCCTTATTGTATATCATTCAATTATTTAAATAATTTATGGGCTATAACACATATAATATTTGTAAAATGATGCCTATAAATACATGTTCATGCAACCTATACATTGTGATTAATATTACAAGAAATAAAAGATTTTGAGAAAAATGAAAAATTAAAGTTTTTGTCCAAAATCCTCTGCATTACCATAGATTGACTATTGTTCCGGTTTATTTTCTTCGAATAACAAAATATTAAATTTTCAAATTGATATTGAGTTAAATTTTGGTTATTTTATCGATTTAAAACAATTTTTGATTTAACATATCATACTTTATAAAAAATCTCTTCTGTTTTCTGAAACCTGAATAAACGTCATCCTTAACACAATTAGAAATTGAATATAAATGTTACAGGCCCGTGTTTTAATAAAAAGAAAGTGTTCAAGTGAAATCATTAAGACTAAATCATAGAAAAGCGCATTTGTTTCTTTCCGAGCATTGATGACATTATTTATCAAACAGCCTTTGTATACTTATTTTAGATAATATCCATCAAAACTTAGGAAGGTGGCAGATAGTAAATTTCACTTTACTAAATAGGTGAAAAATTCTTGAATGAACTTTAAAAAAAAAACAAAGTAACAAACATCTTTTTCAGATTAAAGAATTGAAAAATGGGCAAGAGGAAATTAAAAATATGCTGAAAAAAGTCCTGTCAAGATTACAATCCAGCAACACGAGTGCGCAGACATCTTCACAAGAAGCTGACAAAGGATCATCTTTGGTAAAAGTAATTCATTTTTTTTGCAACACTCTTGAATAAAACCATAGAGATGGATTTTTCAGCCCATAAGTCAAGTTCATTTGACACGTTCATGTTATAATACGTCTTTTTCTCTGATGAAAAAGAAATGTGTTATGATCTTAACTAAGAGAATTCGAAAATGTACAAAGGTTTAGAGAAGATCTCTTACGGTTGTGACCATAAAAATGATACTTTTATTTGCTCACCAGAGTTCTTCAAGATAAATAAAAAAATTTTAAAAAGGTATTTGAACATGTTAAATAATGTTACAAATAAAATATTTTATCGGATTGTAAAATTTTGTTTGAAGTTTTCCATGTATGCGAGATTTGTTTTGGATCTAAGATCTTTGAATTGAAGATTATAATTCTTTCAAAAACTTAAATTAAGCAATAAAATGCTTTCTTTGTTTGTTTTTTTTGTGGCATTTTATTGTTTAAATTTATATCTGTTTCAATAATCATTTAAAGTAGGATTAAAAAGATTAATTATTGTATTTATGATGCAAACGTTTTATACGTTTCAATGATGGAACAGCCACTGATCAAGAAATCTGTACAGGCGACATGCCTACTGTAGTTCATACAGTGACTTACGCAATGGGTTTTCTTAAGAAATAAAGAAAAAATATTCAGTGGATGTTAATATTATAAAATGTTCACAATATGTGAAGTTAAAAAGTTTATATACATGACAACTCTTACTGTAAACAATCTAGCCATGCCTACAAATACCTTCTCTGTACTAATCTTTAAAAACCCGTTGCTAATTAAGTGTCTTTTTACTTAAATGTAGCTTTTTTTAGTTAAGAAACATGGTGCTTTTAATCTATAACTTTAGGAAAGATAATTAACGCAAGTGATGTTCTTTTACGCATTTTTAAATTTTCAATAAAAGTCCAGAACAAAGGAATGGTTCAGCTCTGGAGGTTCTGTTGTATCTGCCAGTAAAACTACTCTAGGGGACAATGTTCGATTCCAGATAGAAGTGTCTTTCGCCGAGCCTACGACGCCTTTCTGGGTAGTTGATCAACGGCTCATTGGAGGTTATTAGAATTTCATAATTGTTAAAAATGTACTTAGATACTTCTAAACACGCGTGGAAATAAACCTCGGTATAGTAAATTTAGATACTAGGCAATCTTGAACCGAAATGTATTTCAACAGAAAAAATTGAAAATCTACACGCATTTGCTAACATGTTAATGCTATCTTTTAAGCCGATGAAAAGGACTTTGGTACAACTACAGAAACCTTATCCAACACTACTCTATTCACTCTGGATGCCAAAAAGCCTGTAAGTTTTATTATGTTCGGTATCCCTAGCAAAGACGAAATGGTCACAAACATTAGATTCGACACAGAAGGAGAAGATGGTACAATTAAATTTGACAACCCAATTACCTGTCAGTCATCATTCTCTAAAATTTCCGATTTTGAATACAATTTCTTTTACCGTTGTAATCCTGAACTTGATCCCCGAAATGACTGGTATATGGAAGTTGGATTGTTTGCCAGCTTTAAAACTAAGATGGCTGAATATAAGCAACTTGAATCGAGGGAAAATAAGTATGTTAATGTTACCTATGAACGTAACTCAACAACAGAAGCAACAGTTGTTCTTTCAGATGAAACGTTGGAGAAAGTAGGGGATTTCCTATTTCTACAGAGCTCTCTTACAATTTCTTCACGTAGTGTAATCAGGTTCATTTTACACAGAAGTTTTTATGATATAAGTAAAACTAAAACGGCGAACAATTTCAAATTTTTGGAACAATTCCCACCGCCGCCGTATTTGGAGGGAGATATGGTACCCGTTAATTGCGAAGCAATTGGAAGATATCCTCCACCCATACAAGTAGAAAGAAACGGTGCTGAGATAAGTTCATCGCACAACGCTTATATTTTCAAAAATACTACAAAGATCTGGTCCTCTTCTTCTGTTACTTTTCTTCGTGCATCAAAAGAAATAGAGGGCAACTATTCTTGTGTTATAGAGAAGGATGGCGAAATACTTATTTCTCCTCAGTCTGTTGAAGTAAAACTAAAACCAAGATTGCGATGGGATCTGACCAAGATACTGAAAAGCAAGCAAAATCAGGTGCGCGTAATTCCTTTAGAAAATTGTTGTTAAGCTGCGTTTTTCATTTTTTGCTTTTGTATTCCATTTAAAGAAAAGGCAATAATCTATTTTTTACTGATTATTTTCTGTAAATTTCAGACTCGTGTACGTGTTGTTGTGGAAGGAGCAACTGGTGTTACATTGAACTGCAGTGATAACTCCTGGTCATGGAAAGGGAATCCTCCTGCTCACAAGGAAAAAAGAACAAAAATATCGGAGTGGAATGAACGGTTAGAAGTTAATTACACATGGAGGAAAATGAACATTATTCCGGAAGAATTCAACTATTCCTCGGATTCTCCGTCTCTTTCTTGCATCGCAAAAGACAAACACGGCGACTTGAATTTCGAACACACTTTCTGGCAGTAATGCAAAAAAAAATCATTTTGAAGTATGAATGTTTTGATTTTTGTGGATCCTCATCTGTTTAACACCACATCCTGAATTGACTGTTGCATACTGCATCTAGAATTTCTCCTTGTGCAGTAAAAAAAATGATAGATGGCTGATAGAGCAGTTGCTTGACTCGGAAACCATCTGTTTGAACCAAACATACATGTACTGTTCGATTAGTCTTTGTATTTTTTAATAATTTACCTTTATTTCAAAAACTGTATAAAATGGATTAAAACCTTCCTTAATTAAAACGGAAATTAAATCGGCTTCATTTAAAAGGGTCAAAGGGATCCCCAGGTTAGAGCAAGGTATCCAATATGCCCCTGACTGTAGGGGTAAATTGGGCAAAATTATGAATTAGAAAGTAACTGTATATCTTGAGAGTGAGGGGACATCACGGAGTCAAACTGTCACATGATTGCAATAAGAACTGAGTTCTTTTGTGTGTTTCTATTGATTATACTGGGAAAATACCTGCATCAATTCTTTTAAAACTCTGTTACCAGACAACAAGCTTAGGTAAATAGTAAACAATGGTACATCTTCGAAATTGTGAATTCATTTTGCGCCTGACTCAGGAGTTCTGAACCCCAGGATCATGAAACAAACTTAGACATAAGTCATATTTTCAATCGCATGTAAAATGTTTACTGAGTATTGAATATATCCCAAATTTTGAAAAAAAAACTCTTGTAAAATAATATTGAAGCTTATTTTCATCTTGATCTTCCTCACATCAACAACACTGAAGTACAAGATAAAGATTTTGAGGCAAACATGTGTTACTATTTCTGCCCTAGAGATTTTGATAAATTTTCCTTAATTGATTTTCAATCTTTTATTTATCGTTTTAAGATTAAAAAACAATTATGTTTACATTCCCAATATCATAAGGGGCCATCTCAAAAATGTCCAAAAACTGCGAACGATAGTATTTGTTCTCCCGCCTACTTCCATGTAAATTTTCAAAAGTTAACATTTTTGAATGATTTTTCATTTTTATATAGATGTTTATATAGATTTTTATAAAACATTAATTATTTAGGAAATCTATTAGATATGACTCTAAAATTTAGGTAACATTCTTGTTTCCTATATAGAAATTAACGGAAACGGGAGATTTTCTTTTTAACCCCCCCCCCCCCCCGTGAAACATAAATTCCTTTCTAGTCGGGTACTCATTTCACTGAGCTATCGAAGCTGTTGAGAAATACTGGATTAGAATTACTTTAGTATATAATTTTTTCGTCTTACTTTCTATAGTATATAAAAATATATAATGTCTATTTACAGTGTATCATATAAATATTCTTTATTTTATATTAACGAACAAAAAATAAGGGGATTAAAAAGGCGGATTTTATACGTGTTAATATACTCGTAGCGCTCCATTCCTTAAAAGTAATGGGTCTCGGCCCCTTCGTATATTAACCCTTATATATTTGGATAGCTTTTAATGGCCATGAAGACTTGTCAATAATATCTCCACGGAGGGGAATCGTAAGAAGTAAGATGAAAAAATAAATACACGTGTAAGGTATAAATATTCTTGATAATATATCTATAAAATTTAAATTTGATTTTTTTTTTTAGAATTTACATTAACTGTCCTCTAACCTACGTTTCTGACTGCCCAGAATGAATAACTGCATGGATTTCAATATCCCAGACGAATTGACCGCCGAAATTTGGCTGAAATATTGCCGATCCGGCGTTAAACAATAACAATCGATCAAAGGTTATTGAGGTAGTAATGTCATTTATCATAACAAATATGAAAAAAAAAAACTTTTAATCATACATAATCTCTAAACTAAATCAGATTGCAAAATTCCACCGGTATAATTGAATGATTTAAATAATGATAGTCAGTATTGCTATGTTAATTTAAACCTACATACACATAGAAAATATCATTTGTGGGGATTCGTTGTTCAGGAGATTTTTTCCTTGTATTTAAAATATGACAAAGAGAGTGAGAATAATTAATTATTTCTATTTGTACTTCAGACCTGCTTTCATTTCTCAATATCTATCGTCTATTCAGAGGTTCGTGCATTTTCTCCCGATTATAATGTAGAGATGTCAAATCAGTCAATAACTGGTAATCGGTTATTCGCACGATTTTCCGAACGAGCAGTCGTGTATTTGGAAAACTTGTAAATACATTGTAAGTGTGCTCTGATGAACCTCTGCGGTTTTAATATATCACGATTATAATGCATATCTTTAAACTTGTAACCCAACGAAAAATTTTTTTTTTTTACAAAATTTATCAATTAATTAGTAAATAAATGCAAAGGTCATCAATTAATACACCAATAATACAAATGGTTTATAGTTCTTTTAACGAGGCCCAATCTAGTTGGAAATTACAAAAACGGAATGATAAAAAAAATTAATTCTTGGAAATAGATTTTTATATATCATGCTAAAATAAATTGAATAAATTTACACAAATTAAATTAACACAATTACATACAAAAACTCCCCAATAAACAAACAAACTGACAAATTAAAAAAAAATAAATGATGAAATGTTTTGTTTTTACATATATCATGCAATTTCCATTCCTCTATTAAAAAATAAAAAGAAAATTGGAGGTAGTCTTTATTGCAGTGAAAAGGGGGCATATCAAAACACAAAAATAGGACTTGTTTTATCCAACTGGATATTTTATAAGTCGCACTGGATTTACAAAACATGATTGTAATACTGTATTAGTTTCCAAAAATTAAATAATTCTTATATTATGAAATAATTTTCCGTCCATCCTTTATCTTTTTTCCTTAACACACGACGTTGTTTTACTTGGAAAAAAAGGGGATGGGGGGGAGTTAAAAACGACAAAATTTCGAATTTTACTAATATCATGTAATATACAGAAAAATAAAATATTTTGGGGGATTGAATGATTCATAGAATTAATTCTATTTTAAACTCAAGCTAATCCATGCATATTTAAGTCCTGAATAAAAAGAAAGGCGAGTACAGAGTGATCACTTCAACATGTTCGAGGAGAAATACTAAATTCGTTTACTTTAATTTTGGTTGCATGTTGTTTTTAACTCACAAATTGAAATAAAACAAGATGAAATTAATGAATATGTACCTAGAAATTGATACCTCAAAATAAATAATGTTTATAAATCAAAACATTTATTTTACAAAACATTCAGATAACAGAAATGCAAGAATGAGCGAGCTTTCAACATGCACAGTCTATAGAGCTTCTACTTGTACATGTATACAAGAAACAATTTAGCGCAATTTGACGTCATTTTGACTGTGCCGTTACTGTATATACAATTGTGACGGCAGTAAAGGGTTCGGTGCTAGATCTATTATGACGTCATAATCAATTTCAACTTTCTTTGTCCCGTACTTTACGGCTTTAGCAGAATTGTGTCGAAAATTGGGTATTTTCATGTCATTCAATTTGAAATCATATGAAAAGTAAACCGGATACCCATATTAAATTTGATATTGATTTAAAGAAGAGGCCATGAACATACTTATTACCGTTTTCTGAGAGACTGTAGGCAGTCTGGATACATTTCCTTTGCCGAATTCGAAAAAAAACTCCCATATTCATGTCTGGTATTCTTAATTTTTCATTGAAAATGACAGTTTAAAATATGCCCCGAAACACCTTATTTGACCAACCTAAAGTTGTAAAGCATCAATAAAGAAATTTATTTCTCAAATTTGATAAATCTGTAGGCACCTTTCATTTACTAGATCTTGACCTTAAGGAAGAAAAATGATATCATCGCGAGAGGGGGAATCATTTATGTAGCTTTATAATGATTAGACTAACAAATGAACGGACGTTTTGGGGATCGCATAATTATTTTTTTAATGCAAGTACATACCGTTTTTTTTTAAATTGATTTCCATGTACATGTAAACCCTCACTTTATTCCCATGACAGTCTTTTATCATCTTCTTATAAACTGCTTTATTAAAAAAAGAATTCTTCACTTTTAAAAGTCGCCCGCGTGGCGCTGTGGTTAAAGCGTCTGCTATAGAGTCGCGAAGTAAGGAGTTTATCCTTACGTTGCGGGTTCGAATCCCACTGTGGGACGTGGAGACCTGTCCTTTGGATGAGACCGTATAAACCGAGGTCCCGTGTCGCAATAAGTGCTGGCATGAAAAAAATCCCTCCCTGCTCCCTGAGTGCCGAGTAAAGGACAAAATTTGCAGCTCTCCACCGGCAAGTGGTGGCGTCTCCATATGAGTGAAAAATTCTCGAGAGGGACATTAAACAATATACAATCAATCAATCATTTTTAAAATGGTTAGCGACTTTTCTATGTTCTGTATAACCAACAAAATGTCAGTCAGCATTTGACTAAATAATATGTTGTATTTGCTGATATCATTGTTTTGGTCCTAAAATTTCGCAAAGGATGACTTCAAACAATTTTGTTGGTATCCTAGTTTCATCAACTTGTTTGTCAACAGCTTACCTTGTTTAAAAAATTCTTCATTCGAATAGCATTCTCTTGCGTATCGAACAACTTAGAGACATTCACCCCGTAAGCAGGTGATAAGGGTATATTGCTACACTTGTGAGGGAAGTTGAAAATTGAAATTGAAAAGTTGAAGTCACCACGTTTATCATGAAGCTTTGTTGTTCAGTAAGCATCGTCTAGAACATCTAACGGCTATAAGAATGTCTGAATACGATCTTTATCTGTCATTTTATTGATTAAACCTTATAAAGTACATGTATCTTTGTTTATTCTCCTTTTATGGTAGATTTGGGGGTATATAGTTCTTTCCCAGTGCGTCCGCCCGTCTGCTTATCTTTTATTCCGCAAAAATATAATTTCCTATAGCTTTTGATTGGTTGTAGATGTGGCCTTAGATCTTCATATGAGTGAAAAATTCTCGAGAGGGACGTTAAACAATATATAATCAATCAATCACTTTTAAAATGGGTAACGACTTTTCTATGTTCTGTATGTCCAACAAAATGCCAGTCAGCTTTTGACTAAATAATATGTTATATTTGATGATAAGATCATTGTTTTGGCCTTAAGCCTTTTGCGAAAGATTGACTTCAAACAATGCTGTTGGTATCCTTGTTTCATCAGCTTGCATCAGCAAAACAAGTCTGCAGCAGAGAAATGGTTTATGGAATAACTGTCTAATTTTTTGGTTTTCCGGGTGGCTTGAGTGATAATTTGCATAAGGCGTTCATGCATCAAAGTATCAAGCGCTCTTCCGTATCGAATAATCTG